CTGGGACACTGCAGTGTCATAAATGTGGGCAGATGCCAAGCCTCTGAATTTTGGTCACGTGACCATGGGAATGAGGCAACGGTTGTAATTATGGAAACGGTCATCAATCACTTTTGTCAGTGCCACTGTAACTTCAAACGCTCACACAATGAACTGTTGTAAGACGAGGACCAGCTATATGTGAACAAGGAGGAGGAGGAGGAGGTGTCATAATTCAAAACATTCTTGCTTTTTCCAAGGAAGGAAGCTTCATATTAAATGTGCTAAAATCACCGGATTGTTTATTGTTTTGCCGTCTGATTGCTGAAGGGAGCCTTTGTTGCAGCCCAACATAATCCCACTTCATAATCCTTTGGTAAGGCCACACTTGGGATACTGCATCCAGTTTTGGTCACCACAATGTAAAAAAGACGTTGAGACTCTAGAAAGAGTGCAGAGAAGAGCAACAAAGATGATTAGGGGACTGGAGGCTAAAACATATAAGGAACGGTTGCTGGAATTGGGTATGTCTAGTTTAATGAAGAGAAGGACGAGGGGGGACATGATACTGTGTTTCCCCCAAAATGGGACCCACCCAGAAAATAAGCCCTACCCTGACTTTTTAGCATGCACCTAAAAATAAGCCCGGGCTGGTGGGCATGGCCAACACAGGAAGCGGCGAACACAACAGCCGTCACAGCCTCCACAGTGCAAGTAAGTCTGAGCACGGAGGCAGAGGCAGGGAGGCAGGCGATCCCGACACGCCGCACGGCAGCCTGCTCCAGTGCGGCCGCTGGCAAGCAGACAGATGGTGGGACGGAGTGGGCAGGCCGCCACAGGAGACTCGTCCTTGCGCGGCAGCACCGGCAACAGGTGGAGGCAGAGGCACGGGGGGGGGGCAGGCAAGCAATCTCGATGCGTCGTCCAGTCCATCACACCATTTTGGTTTCCCGCGGCTGTGCCGGGGCAGGTGGCCACTTGGTGCATCGGGATTGTCTGCCTCCCCCCGGGCGTCTGCCTCCACCTGCTGCCAGTGCCACCCCATGAGCCTGTGAGGGGGGACATGATGCACGGCATATCCAGAACGCCTGTCTCCCCCCCGCGCGTCTGCCTCCATCTGCTGCCAGTGCGACCGCGTGAGCCTGTGAGCCAGGTGGCCGTGCAGCGCATCCAGATCACCTGCCTCCCCTCCCCCATGCATCTGCCTCTGCCTGCTGCTTGAACAGGTAATGAACTCACCTGAGCTGTGCGGGCTGCGCAGTCCCAGAGTGTGCCGGCCGAGGTACAGGTGGGCTGCGGCTGCTACTGTACACTGTCGGCCCCCGCACCTTTGCTGCCGCTTGTGCGCAAGCCAGAAGTGATGATCACCCTGGTACTATGTTTACCCGAAAATAAGTCCTAATGCATCTTTTGGAACCAATATACAGACCGGTTCAAGGCTGACTCAGCCTTCCATCCTTCCAAGGTCAGTAAAATGAGGATCCAGATTGTTGGGGGCAATAGGCTGATGCTGTAAACTGCTTAGAGAGGGATGTAAAGGACTGTGAAGCGGTATATAAGTCTAAGGGCTATTGCTATGAAACTTCCTTATATCTAATAGCCAACCAAGAGTCGTGGTGGCACAATGGTTAGAATGCAATATTGCAAGCTATTTCTGCCAACTGCCAGCAGTTCAGTTCTCACTGGCTCAAGATTGACTCAGCCGTCCATCCTTCCAAGGTCGATAAAATGACGACCCAGATTGTTGGGGGTAAGAAGCTGACTCTGTAAACCGCTTAGAGAGGGATGTAAAGCACTGTGGAGACGTATATAAGTCTAAATGCTGTTGCTACTGCCCTTCCTTCTTTCTTTTCCTTCCTTTTTCTTTCCTTTCTTTCTTTCTTTCTTTCTTTTTCTTTCTTTCCTCCCTTGCTCCCTTCCTTCCTTCCCTCTGTCCCTCCCTCCCTCCCAATGGCTAGGATGCAGTATTGCAGGCTGACTGCTCACTGCCAGCAGTTCGATTCTCACCGGCTCAAGGTTGACTCAGCCTTCCATCCCTCCAAGGTTGGTAAAATAAGGACCCAGATTGCTGGGGGGCTGACTCTGTAAACCGCTTAGAGAGAGCTGCAAAGCACTATGGAGCAGTATATAAATCTAAGTGTTATTGCTAGTGCCACTAACAAGACACCCGAAGAAGCGAGGAGGTAACTACTCAATCACCTCCTCCTATTAGTCTGCTTGCATGGCTAGATCTGGTCCATGGGTCTTAAGTTTGATATATCTGAACTAGATGGACAAGAGGCTGACTTCCGTATTTGGGCACTCCTCAAAGGCCTGAATAATCATTACTGATCTTGAACAAACCTGGTGGGTTTGTTCCCAAGCGTTATCTCACCGCATTGCTTCCTTCTGTCTGCTGGGGATCTAGTCAATTCTAGTCCCGCCTTAGGCATAAAAGTTGGCTGGGTGCCTTTGGACCAATCACCAGGAGGTGGTGAGTTCTAGCCCCGCCTTAGGCATGAAAGCCAGCTGGGTGACTTTGGGCCAATTATCAGGAGTCTATGAATTCTTTAGGCATAAAAGCTGATTGGGTGACTTTGGGCCAATCACCAGGAGAGAGTGAGTTCTAGTCTCAAAGTAGGCATGAAAGCCAGCTGGTTGATTTTGGGACAGTCACACTCTCTGAGGGGATACAAACCTGTTGATAGGTAGGTAGGTAGCAGGCGGCCGTGCAGCACATCCAGATCACCTGCCTCCCCTCCCCCATGTGTCTGCCTTTGCCTGCTGCAGATAGACAGACAGACAAGCTGGCAGACAGACAGACAGATAATGAACAAGAACCCGACCCATCAACCATGGTTCTTCCTTTCTCCTCAGCACAGCAGGGAAGGTCAACTCAAAGGACCAACATCACATCCAGAAAACCCATGAATTTACCCAGCAAGGCCGCAATTGGGTTATTGACGTGCAATCTGCAGAAAACACTATCGAAATGATTCACACTAATGTTATTTAGCTGCAATACTTCCGTAATAAAAGGAATCAATGAAAGAGAGAAAAGACCTGTCCGGGGATTTGATTTTCTCATTTTAATGGCATACTTATTTACTCCCGCCAATCCTCCGATCGGATTTTCATTACACCACCCTGCGCTGTAAGTGGACTGGTATTGATAGGACCTGCTGACTTCAGCTGGCTTCCTGAGGGCACAAATTAAAAATAACTCATATTCGGTGACAAGGTTGCGTGCTAAATACCTGCCCCCGTAATGGGCATGCCGTTATTTGAGAAGGAGCAAAACCCAGGAGCCCCTAGACAAATATATTTTCCGAAGCTGATTTACAACAGCAGATCTTTAATCTGCAAGCTCAGGGCCAGGTTGTTCTAGTGATTAAGGCACCAGGGTAGAAACCAAGCGATGGCAAATTCTAGTCCTGCCTTAGGCATGAAAACTGGCTGGGTGACTTTGAGTCAGCCACCAGGAGACAGTGAGTTCTAGTTTCATCTTAGGCATGAGAGCTGGCTAGGTGACTTTGGATCAATCACCAGGAGATGGTGAGTTCTAGTCCTGCTTTATGCACAAAAGTTGGCTGGGTGACTTTTGGTCAATCAACAGGAGTCTGAGTTCTAGTCCCGCTTTAGCCATGAAAGCCAGCTGGGTGACTTTGGGCCAGTCCCTCTCTCTCAGCTCAACCCACCTCACAAGTTTGTTGTGGGGAAAATAAGAGGAGGGAGGAATACCATATTAGGTATGTTCTCCACCCTGAGTTATTTATAACTAATAAAAGTGGGATATAAATAAATTTATCCCCCTTCCTGTGCTGACCAGCAACACATTAACTAGGTTAGCTAATGGCTGAGTAGCATCCATTGCACACCCTATTGAAATTTTAATTGTTTTTTGTTTTGTCAGTTTAGCATGTTGGCCAAACTCCGCTCGGTGGATTCATGTGAACTTTAAAGGTATCCTCCCCGAAAATGGGTTGCTTCAGCAGCCAGTGACTCCCAGGTCTTGGTCTGGACGGATGAGGACCCCAAGCAGCACTGTTGAGAGTAGCGCCCTTCCTGGGGAGTGCACTGGTGGGGGGTGTACTGGTGGGGATGCTAAGCCAGGATCCTCCAGGATGAACCTACCACCTTTTGGAGTTGGTACAGATGCAAAAGAGATGTGTGGGAGCATAGAGACAATGGGTAGGAGGCAGCTTGGAAAAGGGTCCACAGCTGCTATTGAATGATCCTGGAGGAAGCCTCCAGGGAGGAGGAAGCGGCTGGGGCACTGAAGGTGGGTTTTTTTCAGATTTTATTGTGCTTATGAGTCGCCCAGAGTTGTGCTCTCATGATCAAATCTTTCCAATCGATGGGCAGGTTAGATCTGCGGCTTTCATTTTGTCCCCAATCAATCAATCAATCAAAGAATAGCGCTGGAAGGGATCTTGGAGGTCATCTAGTCCAACCCCCTGCTCAGGCAGGAGACCCTATATCATTTGAGACAAACGTCTGTCCAGTCTCTTCTTGAAAACCTCCAGTCATGGAGCAGTGATGAGGCCTTGGGCTTTCATTAGCTGCAGGCTCGCTTTTCAGCAGTGCTCAGGTGCAGGATGCGCATGATCCCATGGAGGTCAAACTGGTCAAGATGGCGGCCGCCCCCGCCCCCCCCCGACATCCCGCCACACTCATGCAGTAAGGATATTCGATCAGTGTTCATTCCAATTCCAGGGAAGCAAACCTCCCTCGGGGACGGGTGATGAGCCCCTCGGGCTTGGGACGATGGATGCGGCTCCCCGCCGCTAAGGCTTCGATCCCAGAAGCCGACGAGACGCTTCCGCGCGTCTCCATGGCGACGCCGAGTCCAAAGTCCTTCGCTTCCGGCTTCCTGAGGGAAACATCCGGGCCGTGGCCATCCATCCCAAGGAGCGGCCATAGAGTTCTGAAAGGCCGGTGTTTAGCCTCTCTTGTGACGTCACTCTCCTCCCGTTCCGCCCTGACGCGAGGGGGGTTAATCATAGAGGTGTGCCGTCGGAGGCTAGAGCGGGCATTGAGGTCTGATGATTCTGATTGGCTCCCCGGCTCCCGTTGACGGGTGGAGAGCCAAGATGGCTGTGGCGGAGGTGCAGCAGCTTCAAAGCCGCCTCGATGCCTTGGAGGAGCGGATGTTCGGGGCCCCCGCAGGAGCCGCGTCTGCGGGGGGCACCCGGAAGGTAAGGGCTGGGGCTGAGGGTGGGGAGGGGTGTCTCCTCCATCGGGGGGGGGGCAGGTATCACAAAGCCCATCATCCCCTGGCAGCCGCTAGTTGAGGTGCGGGGCGACAAGGAAAGAGAGAAGGACGGCGTTTTATTTTATTTTTATTTTTTATTCTTTTAAACTTGACACATTTCATGTCTCTGTTCCCACGACGACACGTATAAACTGGGGAAACGTCAGAAAGGAGGTTCACTGCTCGGGTGCACTAACCTCCATCTAGGTCTGGCGTGGGAACAGCTGGCCTGTCAGTTGAATGAGGAATTTCCTTTTCCCCCATGCCAAAAATGACAATTTTTGCCTCTGAATATTGCCCAAAGGACAACAGTTCCCATCCTGCACAACTGTTGCCAGGCTTCCTGGGCAGAGAATAGGATCTGAAGATTTTTTTAATATTTTTTTTTAGTTTCTGGTTATTTTCTTTTTTGAGCTTTTCAGAAAAAGTGAATCTGACTACAATTCTCCACTTTGGAATATCTTTATTTTCCTTGCCTTCATTTAGGTAAATGTGCCCTATATGTGTAGTGTGCACGTGTGTGTGATAATTATATTAAATATTATTATTATAACAGTAAAAACTAATGCAAACGGGAGGGAGGGGAAAGAAGAATGAAAAGAGTAGAAAGTGCAGAAAAGAATGCAAAGGGGAAAATTGAGGAATTCAAAAGAAAAAAAGCCTAACAATATGGTAAATAAAAATATAAAGAAATAACTTCCTGCTTTCATCACAACAAATATAGTTTTAGTATCATCTCTTAAAATAACAACAAATGTATTCTCTTCTTCCCATATCTCATCTCTTATCTATTAACAAATACTTAAGCATTGTCATTGTCAAAAATCCATTAAAAGTAATCAGAGAACATACCTATTTTAACCTTGATCAACTAAGTCAACTTTATGTTTCTTCCTTTTACTTCTAACCATCTTAATCTTTAGTCCCTTCAAACGTCGTAAAACTTGATTTCTTTTCATTTCTTCTTTGTCCCTCCTCACAAAATTCTTGAAAACTTTAGCAAGCTTCTTTTTTAAATCCTATCTAGGCAAATTATCCAAGTCATTCTCTCAGTTTGTAATTTGCATAGGTAGTCCTTGACTTACAACCATTTGTTTAGCCACCATTTGAAGTTACAAAAGCACTGAAAAAGTTACAACCAGTTCTTGCACCCATCATTACAACCATCACAGCATTCCGACGATCATGTGATCAAAATCCAGGCATTTGGCAGATGGCAAGTATTTACAGTTGTTGCAGGATCTCATCAGTTGTTGCAGCATCTCATGGTCACGTAATCGCCATTTGACACTTTCCTTACCTGTTTCCAACAATTAACGTCAATGGGAGAAGATGGATTTTTCTAAACGACCACATGATTCTCTTAATATCTGGGGTGATTTGCCTAACAATTATAGAAAAAAAAATCATAAAATCAGGTGCAACTTAATAATTGCCTTGCTTAGCAATGAAAATTCTGGTCCCAATTATTGTAAGTCAAGGACTACCTGTATATATCTCTTTAAGACATCAGCCAGTTTCTTTTTTATGTCCACTGTAACCACTTTTTCCATGTCATTCTTGTAGCCTCTCATTTTTAAATCCACTCTCAATCTTGTCGGTTAGGACGTGTTCCTCTTTCATGACATCTTTTAGACACAAGTTAGTCTATCGAGGAAGACCCTATTAAAATTAACTTCTGGGTCCATTGTTCAAAAGTATCCTTCAGTGTGTCCAGTGTTGAAATATTTTGCTCAAATTCTGTAATTTTAAATCGAGTTCTTCTCCTTTAATTGTATTCTTTAGTTCCCTCTAGTGTCCGCTGTTTAGTAAAGTACCTTTTCATTTATTACTCCTTATTCCAGTGATGGTGAAACTTTTAGAGACCGAGTGCCCAAACTCCAACCCAAAACCCACTTATGTATCGTCGGGTGCTGGGTGGGCATGGCCCATTGGGTGGGCGTGGCTGCGGTGGTAACGCAGACTGGGTGGGATTAAAAAGTTCAATCAATCAATTTCAACTTTGCAAGATCTTTTTTTTTCCCACAAAAAGTTGAAATTGATTGATTGCACTTTTTTTTTTTTTGTACACGGCAGCGGAGGCCAAGAGCAAAAAGGTTTTATAAAACCCAGCTGAAGGCCCGGGACTGGGGTGACGACACGCGTGCCCACAGAGAGGGCTCTGTGTGCCACCCGTGGCATGCGTTCCATAGGTTCGCCACCATGGCCTTATTCAAAGTCAATTTAAAGCAGTTTTTCTTAAAGTTGGCAACTTTAAGACAGGTGGACAAATGCTATCCGGAGAATTCTGGGGGTTGAAATCTACTCATCTTAAAACTGCCAATTTTAAAAAACACTCAAAGCAACCTGTTTTTGGCTTTTTTTTTTTTCTCCCTGTCTCCAGTTCTGAATAAATGGCCTTTTCTCCCTCTAGATAGCAGATGGCTTAGGCAAAGTTCAAGGTGCCTTGGGAAACATTGCAAGCAAAAGGGAGAGAGTTAAAATTCTTTTCAAAAAAAGTAAGTGGTTTTCTTTTTTTTTCTAAAACAAAATGCTGCTCTGTCCTATCAACTGTCTTAAAAGAGGTCTGATAATTGCTAGATGTTGGCGAAGTCTGTTTTAAACTGATGAAAGTTTCCAAATTGTTTTTTTTTAATGTAATATGCTCTTTGCCCACAATCGATGGCAAAGAAATTCATAAATATGAATTTATGAATTTCTAGAACAGTGGTTCTCAACCTTTTTAATGCCGCGACCCCCAACCGGTCGTAAGTCAAGGACTACTCAACCGGTCGTAAGTCGAGGACTACTCAACTGGTGCAGCACTGTTTGCAGAATGGGACTTTTGGCGGGCTCAGCAGGGCAGAGACAGCCTGGACAATTCCTATTGGCTTTTCAAAGCCAATAGAATTAGACTCTATTCAAGAGACTCTATTCTATTGGCTTTCAAAAGCCAATAGAATAAAAGGAAGTAGCACAGCAAAGGAAAAGGGGGGGAAAAATGGCGGACTGCGTTGTTTGGCGACCCCCGTGAAATGGTCGTTTGACCCCAAATGGGGTCCCGACCCACAGGTTGAGAACCACTGTTCTAGAACATTGGTTTTTGGAATCTTTTGATGATTTTATTTTTATTTCACCATATTTGCTGCCCAGCGTCTGTTGGGAGCTGCCTAGTAATGTAACTAAATGAACATTGTACGATCCTTCTTTTTTTCCATTACAGGTAGTCCTTGACTTACAACAGCTCATTTAGTGACCATTCAAAGTTACAACGGCACTGAAAAAAGTGACTTATGACCATTTTTCATACTTGAGACCATTGCAGCATCCTCGTGGTCATGTGATCAAAATTCAGACGCTTGGGGTCACGTGATCCCCTTTTGGGACCTTCTGACAGGCATAGTCAGTGGAGGAGCTGCATTCACTTAACAATCTGGGTGACTAACTTATCAACTGCAGTGATTCACTTAACAACGGTGGCCAGAAAAGTCATAAAACTCGCTTAAGAAGTGCCTCGCTTAGCCACAGAAAATTTGGGCTCAGTTGTCGTAAGTCAGGGATTATCTATATACAGAAATGGGAACAAAAAAAAGGGATAGGAATGTGCAGTTCAATCCTTTTATGCATCCAGCATATGCGTCTATCATTGCTGCAGTCTAAAACTCTAATTCTATTTTATGTTGTCCTTCCTCTTAAGTTGAAGACATCCTAAAATACCTGGATCCTCAGTACATTGATCGAATGGCTGTGCCAGATGCCATGAAGCTACAGTTCATCTTGGCAGGTAGATCTATTATAAGCCCTTATATTACGGGTTTTTTAGCAGTAGATTGTCATGTATAAAATGCTTCTTGCACTAGGTTTTGGTCAGTTGCTTTAAATTGAAACGATCCGAATCCTATATTTCAAACACTGTTTTTTAGGTCATAATGCTATGCACTTTTACCTGGCAGTGATCCTTATGGTACTCAGTGGTGCATAGTTCTCAACAGATCAGTTTTAAGCTATTTTAACGTTTGTTTTTTGGCAGCCAGTTGTTGATTACTTGTTCATCTGTAGGGTCCTTGGTGCTCTCTGAGCTTGGTGGTTTTCTTGCAGACATTTCATGACCTAACTAGGTAATATCATCAGTGCTAGGAGGGAATCAAGTTGGCGAAGAAGAGGAAGAGAAGGAAGAGGTGGTGGAGAAGGACTGTGGGGTCCTTGGTGCTCTCTGAGCTTAATGGTTTTCTCACAGACATTTCATTACCCAGCTAGATAACATCATCAGCGCTTGTTAACCTGCTGCATCTAAGCACAGGTCACATGATCTGTTGCTCCTGGACCAGCAAATAGTTTTTGCCTGACTTATGTCGTGCTTTTCCCATCACCAGAAGAACAATCCATCGTGGCCCAAGCAGCACTTCTGGAACAGGTGAAGAGCCTGCAGCCCTATTTAGACAGCGCACATATCAAAGGTGAGTGACACCCTGTCCTTTATCCCTGAGAGAATCAAGATCATGTGAAGGGTTAGTAGTACCAGTTTATAAAGCCTTGGTAAGGCCACACTTGGGATACTGCGTCCAGTTTTGGTCGCCACAATATAAAAAAAAGATATTGAGACTTTGGAAAAAAGTGGAGAGAAGAACAATTGGGATGATTAAAGGTCTGGAGACCAAAACATATGAAGAACAGTTGCAGGAATTGGACATGTCTAGTGAAAAGAAGGACCAGGGGGAACATGATAGCAGTCTTCCGATATTTGAGGTGTTGCCTCAGAGAAGAGGGGGTCAATCTATTCTTCAAAGCAGCGTTCCCCAACCTTTCTGGGGCTTTGTGGACCAGCAGTGGGGGGGGGGAGAGAGAGGATGGTTTCGTCTGTGCGGTGGGTGAGTGTGCAACTCCATTTGCACAAGTGGCGGGTATGCCCACCTGCCACTCACACAAGTGCAAGTGGAGCTTCCTGTGTTCATGTGCTTGCCTGCCGTATCTGTGGCCCAGTTCCGAATGGGCCGTGGCCTGGTCCTGGGGGACTCCTGCTACAAAGCACCAGAAGGCAGGACAAGAAGCAATGGATGGAAACTAATCAAGGACAGAAGCAACCTGGAACTAAGGCAGTGTTTCTCAACCTTGACAATTTTAAGGCATGTGGACTTCAACTTCCAGAATTCCACAGCCAGCAATGCTGGTTGTGGAATTCTGGGAGTGAAGTCCACATGCCTTAAAATTGTCAAGGTTGAGAAACACTGATACTAAGGAGAAATTTCCTGACCGTGAGAACAATGAATCAGTGGAACGGCTTGCCTCCAGAAGTTGTGGGTGCTCCATCACTAGAAGTTTTTAAGAAACCTGTTTGGAATGGCATAGACTAGAGTCTGCTGCTTGAACAGGGGGTTGGACTAGAAGACCTCCAAGTTCCCTTCCAATTCTTGTTATTCTGTTACTTATGCCGAGTCCTGTGACTGTTACACTTTTCCCAAGTATTGGTTGCTCACTGTTCAATATAGGTGGTCCTCGATTTACAACCATTTGTTCAGATTCGCCTAATAGTGGAGAGGCTTCCTGGGCACTGATTCAGCTTCTGAGCTTTACAAAACCTTTGTTTGTAGTTTGAACAGAGAAGATAGTAATGGGGGAGTTTTAGGAGCCAAACGGTTCCCTGGACAGGCCCCAGGGGCCATTTGGGAAGGTGGGACCCCCCCATTTCCATTTTGAACAGTCGTAACTAGAGGCTGACTTCCTCTTTGTAATCTCTTGCAGCTTCTTCTGATCATGCCACCAAGCTCCAGCGACTTTCACAAATACACCTTCAGCAGCAGGTAAGCGCCAGGCTGGAAAATGCTACAAATTCAAATCCCTCTTTTTAAGTAGCCTGTGTCCACTCCCACCTAAGGCCCCACCTGTCTGTGGCAGAGACATTACTTTCGTTATGAGTGGACCTCCTTCAAAATTCAGTCGAATCTTCAGTCACACAACTGCCTTCTTGTATTTTTTGACAAACAAATCAAACTGTTGGTGTTGCCTTGGGGTCAGACAGACTACATGTAGGCAAATTTCTTCATTGGGGGCGGGGGATCATTGCACTGTACAGCGGACCATAAATTAATAGTAAACCAATTTAAAACCAACCAAACTTGCTCACGTGGTATATGAATGCAGCCACTAACTCTTCTTGATCCAGTCTGGTTACCTCAAACATCCCTAAAATAGTTTGTAGAAGTTCAAATCTGTAAACAGGATCTGTAGAAAGATCTCTTGTTTGAATATAAAGCTTTGTGGCTATATCAGGAAACTCACAGGACAGGAAGAGGCGCTATTAAAAGGTTACTTTCTGTGATTCAGAAGTTGCTAAGTAGCAAATTTCCTTTGGGAAATTAAAATCCGTCTCATTTGGAAGATGTCTCTCAACATCAAAGACCAGGTACTTATTATAACATCTGGTGGATAGGCCCTAAAGCAAACAGATTTTGGGTTAAAATACATTTATGGTTGGAGAAGATGACTAAAAAACAAGTAGACTTTAAACCAGAATTGTTTTTGTTAGGAATAATAGGAGCCAATTACGAGAAAGATTGCAGATATCTAATACTATATATATTAACAGCAGCAAGAATTGTATTTGCCCAACATTGGAAAAATGAAAACTTACCAGCTGAAGAAGTACTAATTAAGAAAATTCTAGAGTGTGCAGGAATGGATAGACTGACTTTAGAGATTAAAGAGAGAGAAGACTCAGTATACTTTAGAACATGGGATAATTTCTATCAATGGCTAGAAAAACCAGTCAGAGAGAAATGAACACGATATGTAATTTTGAATATATATTAGTAAGAAAGGCTATTGAGTGAGTAATTAACATATAGTTTATGATGATTAACTATATCTATACTATTAGTTCAATACATATACCCAGACACTATGCTGTTTGCTAAATATTGAAAATGTTATTTGGGAAAACCCCAACCCAAATCCCAATCCTAATCCACCTTATCTGTAACCCTATAAAAACTAAATATATATATATCTGAGAGCCGAGAAATTTTTACTGTTTATCTACATGGTGCCAACAAAGTCCTTTTTTCCCCACTGATGTTGAATCTCCCACATTTTGTTTTAACTAGTAACCACAAATCTTGAGCGTTTGCATGATTTAAGAAGTAAACTCTGTCTGTGAGGTGGAATGGAGCATTTGAAGCGGTTAGCACTTAAAACACCAAATCCCACAGATGAGGAAATACAGATTGACCGAATTCTTTTCATATTGCAGGATCAGTGTGAAGCTGTGACAGAGAACGTCCGGTTACTTCTAGACGATTACAACAAAATGATATCCTTTTTCCTCACTATGTTTGGAGCTCGTAGTACTGTGCAACTCACACACAACTGCCCCTGGTTCACTACCTCAGCTTTCCTTCGACTGCCTTAAAGCTTTGATCTAACTTTTGAGGTATCTTGGGTTGTCCATTAGAATTTCACTTGCTTGCTTCTGCATTCACAGAACCAAAAAATCCTAGGGCTGGAACTGACCTTGGCGGTCTTCTGATCCAACCCCCCCCCCCCCGCCCAAGGCAGGAGACCTCATATCATCCTCCAGTGATGGAGCACCCATAAACTCCAAAGACAACCTGTTCCACTGATTAATTATTAACAGAATAACAGACTTGGAAGGGACCTTGGAGGTCTTCTAGTCCACCCCCTGCTCAGGCAGGAGACCCCATACCATTATAGCAAAATGGCTGTCCGGTCTCTTCTTTAAAACTTCCTGTGACGGAGCACTCACAACATCTGACGGTAAGTTGTTCCACTGATGAATTGTTCTCCCTGTCAGGAAGTTTCTCCATAGTGCTAGGTTGCTTCTCTCCTTGATTAGTTTCTTCCATTGCTTCTTGTCTTTGCCCTCAGATGCTTTTAGAATAGGTTGACCCCCCCCCAATCTTCTTTGTGGCAGCCCCTCAATTATTGGAAGATGCTATAATACGTCCCCTCATCCTTTTCCTCATGAGGCTAAACATTTCTCCTGCCAGCTTTTTTAGCTTTTCTCAGCTTCTCTTTTCCTTAAAGACCTCCTGCAGACCCTCCTCCTTTCCAAACAGTTTATCCAATGGGATGAGATGCTGACTCAGCTGGAAGCCGCAAAGCAGGTGAAGCCCACACCGGAGTGAAGACCAGGCCTCGGAGTCATTCCGTCGGACTTCGGCCAATCTCCTGCTTTAGATCCCAAATCTCCATATTAATAGCAGTTGCCTAGGCCAGGGGTAGGCAACCTTGGCTCTTTTATGACTTGTGGACTTCAACTCCCAGAATTCCTCAGTCAGAATGGCTCAGCTTGGAAACTTCTCCCTTTCCCCTCAGCATGGGTGGCTCAGGAATTCTGGGAGTTGAAGTCCACGAGTCATAAAAGAGCCAAGGTTGCCTGTCCCTGGCTTAGGAACTGGTAGCACTGTTGAGCTTCATTTGCTAGTGTAGTGCCTGGGGTGGCCAATCAGGGGTGTCCAATCTTGTCAACATGCTGCCTGGGGAATTCTGGGAGTTGAAGTCCACAAGTCCTAAAGTTGCCCAGGTTGGACACCCCTGGTGGCTTCAATCTGGAAGCTACCCCCTGACCTTATGGGTCTAAATAATCTCTAGATCATCTTTTAAGGTTACTGTTTAATTTATTTTCAGTCTTCATTCAGCCAATTCGTAGGGAAATGCATGACTTGTCAAAATACCTGTACTTGTGGACCATAATAATAATAATAAAATCCTCATGAATCCTCAACAGTCTGGCCAGCGTTTGTTTCTTTAAGACCATACAAAAACCTCATTCCTTTTAAAATATTCTGCTCTGAAGGGCAGCAGAGAGATGGAAGTACATTGCAAACAGTTCACCTAGTGACCGAAGTTACAACGGCACTGAAAAAAGTGTCTTATGACCATTTTTCACACTTATGACCGATGCAGCATCCCCACGGTCACGTGGTCAAAATTCAGATGCTTGGCAACTGACTCATATTTATGACCGTTCCTCTGCCTCAGGGGTCATGTGATCCTCTTTTGTGACTTTCTGACAAGCAGGGTCCATGGGGAAGCCGGCTTCACTTAACAACTGTGTAACTTAACAGCTGTGTGGATTCACTTCACAACTGTGGCAAGAAAGATAAAATGGGGCCAAACTCAACTTAGTAAATGTCTCACTTAGCAACATAAATTCTGGATTCGTGATTGTGGTCCTAAGTTGAGGACTACCCTTAGTCACTTCAGAATAAGAATAAGGAAATTACATTTCTTGCTGGCAGTTCTTGGTCCTTTGATAGCAAAATTGTATTTACTGTATGTATCAAATTTAGATGCTGCCCATTTCATTCTCACAATATCTGTGGTGTTTCTTCCAGATGGTTCCTTAGACTAGGAGAGAATAGAATAGTAGAAGAGATTTTTTGACTAAAGAGAAAGAGCCACCAAGAATTTGCCTCCTTGAGAGAATTCCTACAGAACCTTGAAACTTCCAAGAAGATTGTCGAGATCTTGAAGGGGATGATGGGAAAGTGCCCTGAAATCAGTTGCGGCCAAGCTCTGCCGTTTGGATTCATCAGACATCCCAGAGGCACAAAATGCTGATCCATATTACAGTTCTGGGTGTGACTCCTCTTCCTCTCCCTCCCATTCTTTCCCTCTCCCTCCCATTATTTCCTTCCCTCTTCTTCCTCTCCCTCCCATTATTTTCTTCCCTCTTCTTCCTCTCCCTCCCATTATTTCCTTCCCTCTTCTTCCTCTCCCTCCCATTCTTTCCCTCCTTCCTCTCCCTCCCATCCTCTTTCTCTCCCATTATTTCCTTCCCTCTTCTTCCTCTCCCTCCCATTCTTTCCCTCCTTCTTCTTCCTCTCCCTCCCATCCTCTCCCTCTCCCTCCCATTCTTTCCTTCCCTCTTCTTCCTCTCCTATTCTTTCCCTCCTTTTTTCTTCCTTTCCCTCCCATTCTCTTCCATTCTTTTGTCCCTCACCCTCCTCCTCTTCCTCTTCTCTTCCTCTCCTCTACCACCTCCCCCCTCTTCTAGTTTTCCTCCCTCCTCCTCCCTCTTCTAGACCTCTTCCCTCTTCCTCCTCCTCCCTCTTCTCTTCCACTCCTCCTCTTCCTCCCTGCCCTCCTCCATCCTCTGCCTTCCTCTTCTCCTCGTCCTCCTTCCTCTTCTTCCTCCTCCTCTTCTTCCCCCCTCCCTCTTCCTCTTCCCCCCCCCCCCCGCTCATATAGGCAGCTGCATTGAACAACTCTGATAAACATCCTCTTTCAGTTCTTGTCTCTCTGAATTTCCACATATTTTAGGTCAGATTCCTGGAATTTCCAGCCCTCTTCTGCAGATTTTTGTGAACTGAGGCTTATTCTATTGATCATATCCCATCCCTACTGAGTGACTAAGGATTGACTGTCTTCAAATCCTAACTCGGAGTTAATCAGCTGCAACTACTCTGTTCTACATGTTCTTCCCAAACCAACCACAAGATGGCAGAATATCTTACTTGGGTTTACACAGAATGCTCAGATGAAAGCTGAGATCCCCAAAACGTCCTGAACCACAAACTACACAACCTCGTTTCAGGCTGACCTAGTGCACAGTTCAAACCAAGAGTCAGTTCCAGCCAAGGGAAGACACTGTACTTGCCATGTGACAAAATACAAAATATTGAATTAGTTCATGCAACGTAAGGATTGGACCCAACAGGAACTCTGCCACTTGAAAAACCTGAAGTTAGCAAACAATGCAACAAACAGCAAAAGGCTTTCTCTAAGTATGTTCAAAATAATAGAATTTATTTTATTTCTTAAACGCATTTTTCTGTCCTAGTGGGATTGAAAAGGAGTCGTGTTGGCCCAGTGGTTAGAATGCAGCATTGCAGGCCACCTCTGCCCACTGCCAGCAGTTCGATCCTGATCAGCTCAAGGTTGACTCAGCCTTCCACCCTTCCGAGGTCGGTAAAATGAGGACCCAGATTGTTGGGGGGCAAGATGCTAACTCTGTGAACTGCTTAGAGAGGGCTGTAAAGCACTATGAAGTGGTATATAAGTCTAAGTGCTATTGCTATAGATGGATGGATGGATGGAGAGAGAAAGAGAAAGAGCTATGGAGGCGCAGTGGTTAGAATGCGGTATTGCAAACTAATTCTGCCAACTGCCAGCAGTTCGATCCTGACCAGCTCAAGGTTGACTCAGCCTTCTATCCTTCCGAGGTCGGTAAAATGAGGACCCCAATTGTTGTGGGCAATTGGCTGGCTCTGTAAACTGCTGAGGGCTGTAAAACACTATGAAGCTCTATATAAGTCTAAGCGCTGTTGCTAAAAAGATCCTTGTTTGGTAGCTTATGTAGAATGTAAAACATCCGTAAGTAACACAATGTCTTACTGAAAGCAAGAATCAGCCAAAAAAAAAAAAAAAAACAGAAGTAAAATAATACAAATGGAATTTAAGATATCAGTTTGGATATGATTAATTCTGAACACAGTCACATCCCCTATTTCTAAGAGGCTGTGCACACTCACACAACTGCCTTACTGTAAGTTTTGTAGTGTTGTTTTTTTCGCCCTAAAAGATTTCAGTTTCTTTTTCAGTTGAATTGTACAGCTTGCATGTTATATTAAGGGTGGGGAAAAATTCTGAAGTGATTAATCTTGGTCTGATATTTTTTTTTTTTAGGTCTCAAAAAGCTGGCATTTTGACAGGGATGTTTATAGACCAGGGGTCTTCAAACTTGGCCCTTTTATGACTTGTGGACTTCAACTCCCAGAATTCCTCAGCCAGGCACGTGTGCTTGGCTGAGGAATTCTGGGAGTTGAAGTCCACAAGTCAAAAGGGCCAAGTTTGAAGACCCCTGGTATAGACTCTTTGTAACCGCTTATACGATATTACAGCACTTTACAAATGCTGAAAGGACGCCAGAAGAAGACTTGAGACTTTCTGTTCCAGAGTGTAGAATATAAAATAAGGCATTTAAGTTGCAAGAAAAGAGGTTCTGACTCAATGGGAGAAAATGTCTTGGCGGAAGAACAGTCAATGAAATCAGCCAAGCAGAGAATCAGCTAAGCAGGGCTCCCTTGTGCTGGATGGGCTCATCAAAGGCTGGACAGTGGTCAGATTGGGAGAGTTGAGTTAGATCAGGAGTCTTCAAATTAAGCCCTTTTATGACTTGTGGACTTCAACTCCCAGAATTCCTCAGCCAGGCATGCTGGCTGAGGAATTCTGGGAGTTGAAGTCCACAAGTCATAAAAGGGCCAGGTTTGAAGACCCCTGTGTTAGATTCTTGTACTGAGTTGAAGGTTGGATTCTGAGCCCAAAGTTGGTGGTTGAAGGTTAGGAATTCTTGTAGGAAGAACATTGGAACCACTGGTCCATATTGGTGTGGTGTCCCTTCACTGGATGTTTGCAAAACCTGGCTAGAGAGCCCTTCCTTGAAGTGGATTCCTTCAATTGTGGAGATGTTGAGGATTGAGACCTCCACTCCTTAGAAAGCAAGTCCTACCTATCAGCTATCGCCTTTTCCCAGTGATCCAGAAGATGCTGGATTTCATACAGATGGGCTCCTTCACTCTTAGAAGCAACCTTAGAGGAGAGAAAAGGTAGATGTATGTGAAGGACTTTCCACTCCTTCACTTTTCCAATTGCAAAAAGTAACTAAGAGTATAACAGAGTTGGAAGGGATCTTGGAGGTCTTCCAGTCCAACCCCTTGCTGAAGCAGGAGACACTCTATCATTCTAGACCAGGGGTCTTCACACGTGCCTGGCTGAGGAATTCTGGGAGTTGAAGTCCACAAGTCATAAGAGGGCCACGTTTGAAGACCCCTGTTCTAGACAAATAGTTGTCCAGACTCTTCTTAAAAATCTTCAGTGATGGAGCACCCACAACTTCAGAAGTCAAGCTGTTCCACTGATTAATTGTTCTCACTAAGGAAATTTCTCCTTGGTTCTAGGTTGCTCTTCTCCTCGATTAGTTTTCATCTGTTGCTCCTTGACCTTCCCTCAGGTGCTTTGGATAATAGGTTGATCTCCCTCTCCTTCGTGGCAACCCTTCAGATCTGCTATCATCTCACCCCTAGTCCTTCTTTTCACTAGACTAGACATACCCAATCCAGTTCTTCATATGTTTTAGCCTCCAGTCCCCTGATCATCTTTTTTGCTCTTCTCTGCACTCTTTCTAGAGTCTCAACATCTTTTTTTTTTCTGTCGTGGTGACCAAAACTGAACATAATATTCCAAATTTATTTATTTATTTATTTATGAGACTTATATACCGCTTTAAGTGCAAGCACTTCTAAGCGGTGTACACCAGTAAGCAATGAATATATATATTTACATTGCCCCCAACAATCTGGGTCCTCATTTTACCTACCTCGGAAGGATGGAAGGCTGAGTCAACCTTGAGCCGGTGAGATTTGAACCACTGACCTGCTGAACACAGTCAGCTAAAGTGGCCTGCAGTACTGCACTCTAACTGCTGCACCACCTTGGCTCAGCCTTGCTTGCTCCTGTAAGTCAGTGTTTCTCAACCTTGACAATTTTAAGGCATGTGGACTTCAACTCTCAGAATTCCACAGCCAGCATTGCTGGCTGTGGAATTCTGGGAGTTGAAGTCCACACGGCTTAAAATTGTCAAGGTTGAGAAACACTGCTGTAAGTCAATGTGGTCAACCTGAGGACCCAAAACCTCCAGCCGTGGAAGTCCATAGGCGCATGCAAATTCCCATAATAGCACATGCCTTCTCCTTCAGAAACCCTAAGACAGCCAGAATGTCCTCTTCCTTTTGTCTCTGGCCCTTTCGTGAAGATCTGATCCTTTCCCAGCTAAAGTGGGAGGGATCGTGGTGGAGATTTATGAGCCATTATCTCATCTTGGCGCTCCCCTCGCTGGAGAAGGAGGACGAGATGAGGGGAGGACAGGAGAAAGTATCACTTTCACTTCTGCTTTTGAAGTCTGTCAGATGCCTGGCTGGAACTGAACAAACAAATCCAGAAGGTCACCACAGTCCCTTACTCCATCCTCAACACCCGTACACAGTGAGTGTGCCTCAGTCCCTCTTTCTCAGGAAATGGAGAATTTCCTAGCTTAGAAACTGGAAGGCAAGAACGGATATTGGTAATGTGGCCTGGAGGCGCGAACTAAAGGCTTTGGTGCTTTTAGTTATGGAGGGGAAGTCAGCAAACCGCTCTATGAAGCATCACCACTCAGAAAGTTCTGAAACGGCTCTGGAACAGCCCTGGATTTTGTATCGGAGACTTTCCCCACTGCTTGTGCTGTGGGACGGTATCTCCCATGTGGGAGGGGCACCAAAATGTTTGGAAAGGCATTAAGGATTAAGAAGGGGGAAACCCACAGGATGCCACCGTTCATAATTCAAAATGAAAGGTGTGTCTTTCGGTCTTAAAAATGTGTTTTCTTTAATTACTGCGGCAAGGTTGTTAATAGGGCAATATTGGAAGAAGGAATCTTTGCCTACTTTGCAAGAATGGTTTTTTAAAGTTTCTTATTTAGCGGAAATGGCAAAAATTTTGGCTTTCTTGAAAGATCAATCGCAAGAGAAGTACCTCTTGGTGTGGAAAAGATGGATAAACTTTATACAGTATAAGTATGATATAAGAAAATACCATTTAGCTTTCGAATAATTTATATTTAAAGTTTAAGATATTATTTAGAAGTGTAATTATTATTATTTTTTAATTTTTTATTTTTTTTATCCCCCCCCCTTTTTTTCCTCTTTTTGTTTTTTATATATAATGGAATTAAAGTATTTCATAATTTGTTTATTGAGTGTAATTATATCTGTTTAAGGTTTATTTGGGTTTAAAACTTTTTTTCTTTTAAGTTCTAGTGAAGCCTATATTCAGCTCTGGGAAGAATGGGGGAGGGTTTTGGGGTGGGTTGGGAGGGAATGGGGAAGGGTTCTTATTGTAAAATTTTAAAAAATTTTAATTAAAAAAATGTGTTTTCTAATTTTGGGGGGTGGAGGAGGACTATGGGGTCCTTGGTGCTCTCTGAGCTTGGTAGTTTTCTTGCAAATGTTTCATTACCCAACTAGGTAACATCATCAGTGCTAGAAGAGAGGGGGGTTTGCGGGGGGGGGAGGAGGAGGAGGAGGAGGACTGTGAGTCCCTGGTGTCCTCTGAGCTTGGTGGTTTTCTTGCAGACATTTCCTTACCCAACTAGGTAACATTGATTGCTAAAAGCTGCTCTCTCCCTGTTTATACTGTATACAAGTGACTTGTCCTGTCATTGTTGGGGGTGAGGCATAATCTCTTTATTAGCCTATTGATTATGTTTGTATGATTGGCAGTTCCCCAACTGGGGTATTGTTTGCTTCGTGATTGGTCTAATGTTGATCTTGGTGTTAATCTCTGTTCATCAAGGTGTTAATTGCTGATGAAGATATGTTTTGATGTGTTTTTGTTCCCTTCTTGGCTTGTTGATTGTCTCTTTTGAATGGTATCTAGTTCTTATTTATCTCTATATTCCTGTTGAGAGTCAATATGTCTGAATTCCAGGCTTACAGGAATTCTCTAATGTTTTCGGCTTGGTCTAGGTCTAGGACAGTGGTGGCGAACCTATGGCACGTGTGCCAGAGGCAGCACTCAGAGCCCTCTCTGTTGGCATGCACACCACCGCCGCCAGCAGCAGGTCCATCAGGCCATCACTGCCACCCAGAGCAGGAGCCCCACCTAGCACAAAGGAGGCGAAGCGGCCGACTAGCAAGTAGAAGTGGTAGAGCAGAGGTCACCAACCATTGTCGATTGGTGGACTTGAAGAAAAGGGAGGGGGAAGCATTTTACATATGTGCATGCGCACATGGGGCCACAAGCATGCACGTGCTGCAAATGGGGCGGGGCTAGTGCCTGCATGATACTCACTAGCCCTGCTCCGTTCTTGCGTGGTGCAGCGTCTTGTATCTCCATCCCGTGGCGCCGCGGTGGTCTTTTTGGGGCCTTGCAGCGTGGCAGCCCATTTTTGCACCCCCAGGTTTTGCGTGCCAGAGGCAGTACTCAGAGGCGCCTCCTTCCCCCCCCCCCCGAGGGCACCACAATGGTGATGCAGCCCTGGCACTTTGCAATAAATAAGTGGGTTTTGGGTAGCGGTTTGGGCACTCGGTCGCTAAAAGGTTCACCATCACTGGTCTAGGATGTGCACAACTTCCCAGTTGAAACTATGGTTAAGTCTGTCCATGTGTTTGTTCACAGTGTATAGCTACTTCCTAAGCAAGTAATTTAACCCTTCTTCTGTGTCTATAGAATATGCTGGGCCACAAACTGAAACACATTGGATTCACACAACCATACTCTCCTCAATGCCAGTCAAGGTTAAAACCTAGCCAAGGCCAGCCGGTTGTGTGAATTCAACCCCAAGGTTTGCAAGCATTCTCTTCCCAGAGCTGTACTGCCAGGCTTACTCTTTGTCTTTTGTTCCTCTGTCACTTTGTGTGATCTCAGTTGATAATTAGCCACTTAGTGGTTAATCAGTGATCAATGTGGACATGATTTACAAGTAGCTTTTTCCTGCTTTCTCTCAAAGGAGTTGTAACCGCTTCCTTTGACTGGTTTCCTAAACCGGAATGGAAAAACTTCATGAATCGCTGGAAGATGTTTTGCTGTTCGCCCTAGATGATCTCTCTGGAGAAGATTTCAAGAGATTCAAGAATAAACTCAGCTTCTCCTATTTTGAGGAGAAGGACCCCATCCCATGGGGCAAGTTAAAGGATGCCCACACACTGGACGTATTGCGGCTCCTTTTGGAAACGTACGGAGATCAGGGCGCGCAAGACGTCACCATCCAAGTCCTACGCGCTATCAACATGCGAAATTCCGCCTCCCGACTTCAAAAATGGAGATATAATGGTAAGCAGGCTTCTTCTGTTTGGAATGTGCCATCCTCCTATTTTCCATTCTTTTTCTTGGCAGGCAGAAATCCAACAGGCCTTGGCTGGCCAGGGAGGAAACATCAGCTGTTGATTTTTCTGACTGTTGCACCAAAAGTGTTCAGCTGCTGTGAATGTTTTCTTACTTTAAGTACAAATAGTCCTGGACATACAGCTACAATTAGCCCAGAATTTCTGTTGAATTGCAATTTGGTTATTAAGTGAATGGAAGCTGATTTTACAGCCTTTTTGGTCATGATTGTTAAGTGAATCACTGCAGTTGTTAAATGACGCACATGGTCATGAAGTTTCCACCACTGATTTTGCCGGTCGGAAATACATGCTGATCATGGGACTGTGAGGAGGCTGTTAATGTCCACGTGGGACTGGAGCAAAGCATGGTTGATGTAGCTTTGGTTTTCTTAACAGAATAACAGAGATGGAACAGACCTTGGAGGTCTTCTACTCCAATCACCTTTCCAAGTAGGAGATCCTATGCCATTCTAAACAAACAGCTGTGCAATCTCTCCTTGAAAACCTCCAGTGTTGGCGCACCCACAACTTCTGAAGGCAACTTCTGTTCCACTGGTTAATTGTTCTCACTGTCAGGAAATTCCTCCTTAGTTCTAGGTTGGATCTCCCTTTGAGGAGCTTCCATCCATTAAATAACAGAATGACATAGTTGGAAGGGACCTTGGAGGTCTTCTAGTTCAACCCTATGCTCAGGCAGGAGGCCCTATACCAGGGGTAGGCAACCTTGGCTCTTTTAGGACTCATGGACTTCAACTCCCAGAATTCCTGAGTCAGCTATAGCCTACCCCTGCCCTATACTATTTCAGACAAGTGGCTGTCCAGTCTCTTCTTAAAAACCTCCAGTGATGGAGCAGCCACAACTTCTAAAGGAACTTCTGTTCCACCGATTCATTGCTCTCACTGTCAGGAAGTTTCTCTTTAGTTCTAGGTTGCTTCTTTCCTTGATCAGTTTCCATCCATTGCTTCTTGTCATGCCTTTGGAGAACAGCTTGACTCCCTCTTCTTTGTTGGAGACCCTCAAATATAATACTGGAATAGTGCTATCATGTCACCCCTAGTCCTTCTTTTCATTAAAACGGACATACCCAGTTCCTGCAACTCTTCTTCGTATGTTCTTCACATTTTTGCTAAGATGTCCTGCATCTCCACAGTAGATGTTTGTGATGCTCAAGCAATTGAAGACTCCATTCCTTCCTCTTTTTCAGGTCTTCAGAAGAAAACTCCTATACGCATGTCTTGATTGTGGCTTGGGCACAATCAACTGTTGTGCAGATTTGGTGGCTCAGCCTCAGGGGGCATCTCAACATCCTGGTCATTGAATGAATTTTTTTTTTCACAACATCCCATCAACTTTCTCCTCCCCATTCCTAGTCATCCATTCTCTAGCACAGAGGTGGCCCTTTTAGAACTTGTGGACTTCAACTCCTAGAAGTTGAAGTCCAGAAATCTTGAGGTTGCAAAGTTTGGACAACACTGCCCTAGCATTTTCCTACAAGAGGTCTGAATTAAGATGGCCCCAATCTTCCTTCTGTGTTTCCCACAAAAGCATTGAGTGACTTCTTTCACAACTGTCGCAACGTCCCATCCATTTTCTCCTCCGCGTTCAAGGCCATCCCTTCTCTAGCTCAGGAGTATCTGACCAGCATCACAGAAGGAAGTGGAGCAGGTTGGAAGAGGGAACAAGAGTGTTTTGTCCGTAGTAAAGTCATTATATTGTCATTATTTCCAACAGGGTTTCATAATACAAGAAGCCACTCCAACGTTTCTTGTAAAGCTGCCCTTTTGCATCTCTCTCTCTCTCTCTCTCTCTCTCTCTCTCTCTCTCTCTCTCACACACACACACACACACACACACACACACACACACACACAACGCCTTCCTATGGTTACAATCTCTAAGTTTCCCAATAACTTGATCAGCAGTTCACAGATGTTTTCCTTTTATTTTATTTATAGATAATCCTCGACTTACAACCACAACTGAACCCAACATTTCTGTTGCTAAGGGAGACATTTGTTAAGTGAGTTTTACCCGTTTTTACGACTTTTCTTGCCACTGTTCTTAAGTGAATCACAGCAGTGAAGATAGTAACATGGTTGTTCAGTGAATCTGGCTTCCCCCCTGGACTTTGCTGGTCAGGTCACAAAAGGGGGATCGTGTGACCCCGGGACACTGCAACTGTCATATAAATACAAGTCAGTTGCTAAGTGTCTGAATTTTTATAATCTGAACCTGGAATGCTGCAATGGTTGTAAGTGTGAAAAATGGTGCTCAAACAGCCTTGGCCGAAAAGCTTTGTAGGAGCCTGGCCGGAGAGTGGGAATTAGGAAGGTCAGACAGCTGCAGCTGCTTTGGGCACAGCAGGCATGGATCGGGCAGAAGGAAAGAAAAAGAGAAGGAGAAAGTGGGGAGGGGTTTCATGTGATTCTTTTTTTTTTTAATAATTTTTTATTTTTCCAAACTCTCCCCCATACATATACTGTGATATTTATCAGATGTTAACATACATTCTTTTTACATTCATATATAAGATGAAATAAATACATACACATGACTTTTGGTGTTGCTCGCCCATTTCCCCTTTCACTGTATCCACACTCCTTCTTCTCTACCTTCTTTCTCCCTTTCTTCCCTACTTCCCTCTTCTTCCTCTCCTCTTTCCTTCACCACTCTCCTCTTCTCCTCTAACCTTCCTACTTCCTTCTCCCCTCCTTTACTCTTTTCTCTCTCCTCTCCTTTCTTCCCTCTTATCCCTCTTCAGATACAATTCAGGGCTAATGTCCGAGCAACTCCTCTCTCCAAATTTCCCTATCTGTATTATATACAATAAGATTAATTTTCTCTTACATTAATACTTCTATTTATCTAACCTTCTCGGTATATATTTCTATAAATATTTATACAACCTCCAGTTATTCAATACTGTGTCACCTGGGTCTCCCTCCTTATCTGCTCCTCCTTCTTCCATCTAAATTGATGTTAACTATCTTTTAACCGTATTCTCTTTTCAGCCAATCATAAAAAGTTCCCCAGATTTCATAGTAGTCTGACTCTGTCTTATCTTTAATTGTCATTGTTAGTCTATTCATTTCTGCCCATTCCAGTATTTTCCCAATTACCTCTCCCTCTGGGGGGGGGAGCTTTCAGTGCTTTCCAATTTTGTGCAAACACAATCCTGGCTGCCGTAATTATATGAATAATTATATATGTTTTCTCTTTATTGTATTTCCCTGGTAGAATACCCAACAGGAATATTTCTGGTCTTAGTTCTATACGTTGTTGTATCATCTTTTCTATCCATGTTCTAATTATATTCCAATAAGCTTTAGCTTCTACACATGTCCACCACATATGGTAGAAGGAACCTGGTATCTGATGACATTTCCAACATGTGATTCTTTTCCTCTGAAAGAGAGAGAGAGAGAGAGAGAGAGAGAGAGAGAGAGAGAGAGAGAGAGAGAGAGAGAGAGAGAGAGAGAGAGAGAGAGAGAGTGAAAGAGAGAGAAGAGAGAGAAATTCTGGGAGTTGAAGTCCACAAGTCATAAAAGAACCAAGGTTCTCCACCCCTGGAGAGAGAGAGAGAGAGAAATTCTGGGAGTTGAAGTCCACAAGTCATAAAAGAACCAAGGTTCTCCACCCCGAGAGAAAGAGAGAGAGAGAGAGAGAGAGAGAGAGAGAGAGAAATTCTGGGAGTTGAAGTCCACAAGTCATAAAAGAACCAAGGTTCTCCACCCCTGGAGAGAGAGAGAGAGAGAGAGAGAGAGAGAGAGAGAGAGAGAGAGAGAAATTCTGGGAGTTGGTCCACAAGTCATAAAAGAACCAAGGTTCTCCACCCCTGGAGAGAGAGAGAGAGAGAGAGAGAGAGAGAGAGAAATTCTGGGAGTTGAAGTCCACAAGTCATAAAAGAACCAAGGGTCTCCACCCCTGGACTAGAAGACCTCCAAGGTCCTTTACTGTTATTCTGTTAAACTGGAAATGCTATGGACATTCAAAACCCTGTCTCTGAGACTGTGAAGGTCTGGATGGTAGAAACCAACTCGATCCCTAGCAAGATGTTGTTTGTCTGAAAACATTCTGCTCTGAGATGGTTCCAGAACTAGGTCTGGATATAGCTGCTGTCCTCTTAAAGGAAAAACGTCTGAACAGCCGGCTCCAGATGGAACTGCAGGAGAAGGAATGGCCAGGAAACCTTTGTCCCTGCTGCTCTTACGGCTTATCTGCACCAGAATAATCTTGGCCACCATACGTCAGACTCTTATCACCTCTCAGTTAGATTATTGCTCTGCTGGGACTGGCTGTAAAAATGATTCAAACACTACCATTAGTAGAAAATCTGGCAGCCAGGTTGTTACTGGATGAAAGACGGTGGGCAGGTGTTATGTCACTCTTGTGCTTGGTGCTTTGACTTCCAAGGAGTGATGTGCAGGTTCTGAGGTTTTGCTTGATAAAAAGCATACAGGAAACCAGAAGTTGCCTTCAAGCTTACATGTTTATTCAGCTGAATAGAGACGGGCTTGAGTACAAAAAGATCAAAAGCTCCAAATAGCAGAAAAACCTTATTCTTATAGCTACTTTGATTACATAAGCCAGTGATGGCGAACCTTTTAGAGACTTGAGTGCCCAAACTGCAACCCAAAACCCACTTATGCATCGTCAGGGGCCGGGTGGGTGTGGCCCATTGGCTGGATGTGGCCCATTGGGTGGGTGTGGCTGCGGTGGTAACAGAAGACTGGGTGGGACTAAAAAGTTCAATCAGTCAATTCCAACTTTGCAAGATCTTTTTTTTTTCCCCGCAAGGTTGAAATTGATTGATTGAACCTTTGTTTTTTTTTGTACACAGCGGCAGAGGCCTAAAGCGAAAAGGTTTTATAAAACCCAGCTGAAGGCCTAGGACTGGGGCGACAGCACGCGTGCCCACAGAGAGGGCTCTGCGTGCCGCCTCTGGCACCTGTGCCATATATTCGCCACCACTGACATAAGCAATTCAGCCAGCAAAGCTGACACACATAAGATTAAAACTTCGCCCTGTAGATAAGAAAGCAGAAATAGCTAGTATGTTCCCTTTTGGGTGTTTCCCCGAAGACCATATGTTCACTGTTGAGTGGTTTAGGTGTTTCCCTAAGATACCAGCTGTCCTGGGATGGGTTTGGGTGTTTTCTTTGCTGTCCTTTCATGACTCTGCATTCATAGGCCTGCAAGTGACCAGAGAGAGAGGAGCCATCTGTACGTATTCACAATTGAGACTGTCCCCCAAGTCCTGGTCATCAGGAGCCTCTGGATCCATCTGTTAAGAATGAAACTTTGGCAGCTACGTGCCTCTTCATTTCAACTTGCCATTAGAGTAAAAGGGGGGAGGTGTTGCTTTAGAATGGGTTAGAGCAGTGGTTCTCAACCTTTTTAATGCCGCGACTCCCAACCGATCATAAGTCGAGGACTACTCAACCGGTCGTAAGTCGAGGACTACTCAACTGGTGCAGCACCGTTTGCAGAATGGGACTTTTGGAGAGCTCAGCAGGGCAGAGACAGCCTGGACAATTCCTATTGGCTTTTGAAAGCCAATAGAATTAGACTCTATTCAAGAGAGTCTATTCCATTGGCTTTCAGAAGCCAATAGAATAAAAGGAAGTAGCACAGCTAAGGAAAAGGGGGAAAAAATGGCAGACTGCGTTGTTTGGCGACCCCCGTGAAATGGTCGTTCGACCCCAAATGGGGTCCCAACCCACAGGTTGAGAACCACTGGGTTAGATGAAGAAACAAAACCTCTATGATTCCGCTGAAGACTGTGAGAGCTTGAAACCTTTCCAAGGACACTGCAGCAGGTGTGGAGAGTAAGCAGACGTTCCCCTAACAAAGTGAAATTGTTTACATGGATTATGTGAGAGAGTGGGGGGTTTGGCCAGAGAAATTATTGTTTAATTCTGGGAACTAGTGTCTGGGAACCTCACAGTTAGTTTTGCTTTGACATTACCATGCTGTGTATTCAATAAACAATAAGATTTTCGGAAATGGAATGAACCTGGAAATTTATTTGGAATCTCGAGCTGGACGATGACACCCTCACAAAATGGCGGTGTGGAGCTAGAAAGCTCTCCATAGCTTGGTTTTAGGATACCTTAGAAGGGACCATCTCCATCAAGTGGAAGATGCCTATTGAGGTCCCATCCTTAGCAGAATTTGGGAGAACAGGTATGTGTGTGTGGGTTCTCTGTCATGGCCGCTATACTCTGAAATACCACTGCCTTCTTATTAGCCTTTGCCAGTAAGTCTAGGCCAGGGGTAGGCAACCTTGGCTCTTTTATGACTCATGGACTTCAACTCCCAGAATTCCTGAGCCACCATGGCTCAGCTTGGAAACTCTCCCTTTCCCCTCAGCATGGCTGGCTCAGGAATTCTGGGAGTTGAAGTCCACGAGTCATAAAAGAGCCAAGGTTGCCTACCTCTGGCCTAGGCCTAGGCCACTTTATGACTCGTGGACTTCAACTCCCAGAATTCCTGAGCCAGCATGGCTCAGCTTGGAAACTCTCCCTTTCCCCTCAGCATGGCTGGCTCAGGAATTCTGGGAGCTGAAGTCCATGAGTCATAAAAGAGCCAAGATTGCCTAGCCCTGGTCTAGGCCAATGTTTCTCAAACTTGGCAACCTGAAAATGTTTGGACTTCAACTCCCAGAATTCCCCAGCTTCCCCATTAACTTCGCAAAAGGGGATCATATGACCCCGAGATACAGACAACCCTGGGGCTGCTACAATGGTCACGTGAAAAATGGTCATAAATCACTTTTTCCAGTGCCGTTGTAAATTCGAACGGTCGCTAAATGAACAGTCGTAAGTCGAGGACTAGCTGTGTTTTTCCAAAGTCAGATTTACAAGTCTCTTTTAAACAAACCAACTACCCAGATTATCTGACCTGGTGTTCCCTTTGCCCACCCCGTCAAAACAATTTAGACCTTAGCTTAGAAAGTACAAGTAGTCTTTGGCTTACGGCCAACCGAGTTCAACATTTCTGTTGTCAAGTGAGACATTTGTCAAGTGAGTTTTGCCCCATTTTACTACCCTCCTTGCCACAGTTGTTAAGCTGAATTACTTTGGTTGTTAAGTTAGTGACACAGTTGTTAAGTGAATCTGGCTTCCCCATTCACTTTGTCAGAAAGTCACAAAAGGGGATCACCTGGCCCTGGGACAGTGCAACCGTTATGAGTCAGCTGCCAAGCATCTGAATTTTGATCACATGACCATGGGGATGCTTCAATGATTGTAAGTATGAAAAAATGTCATAAGACACTGTTCTCAGTGCCGCTGTTAACTTCAACGGTCACTAAATGAACTGTTGTAAAATGAGGGGAACCTCTTTTGTTTCTGCCACTGAACTACAAATGCTTTCTTTTGATGTATTTCGTTAGATCGCAAGAAGAAATATAAGAGGCACATCCGACAGGTTTTTCAAAATCGTTCTCAACTGGGCCCGCAGCCCAATCCAAAGGTGACCTTCCAAGAGACCTACGTAGACCTTCTTCTGAAGAGGAGACCAGCTCTGCCCAAAACAGGTCATGAGATTATGGCTGTGGAAAGAAAGTACTGGGAGATGAAGACCCATCCAGAAGATGGCCTGAACGTTGATCTGGAGAATTTATTTCATCCAGATCCTGAAGGAGAAAACTCCAAAACTCTTTTGTTGCTTGGACCTTCTGGGGTAGGAAAAACCACAGCCACGTGGAAGTTTATGTTGGACTGGGCATCAGATAAACTATGGCAGACCAAGTTTGATTACGTCTTTTATATCTCTTGTGATGCGCTCCGCTGTGGCGCCAAGTTTATGAGTGCAACGGACTTGATCCTCAACAATTGTCCTTCAGGAATGGTTTCCATGGAGGATGTTTTGGCCAACCAAGACAACCTCCTCCTCATTGTTGATGGTTTGGAGGACCTGAAGCTCTCTGATGTCTCAGTTGATATGCTGGACAAGGATCCCCACCGAAGGCAAGAGGTGATGAAGCTGTTGATGGGTCTGCTCAAGAAAAAGATCCTTCCGAAGTGTCATCTCCTGGTGACCACAAGGCCCATGGGTGTAAGCCCAATGGTGAAGTATCTGAGATCACCACTCTTGGTAGAGGTGTTGGGTTTTCATCCTGTGCACAGGAAGGAATATTTTCATCACTTCTTTCAAAATATGGAACAAGCCAACCAGATCTTTGAACTGATTCAAAAAAATGAAACTCTTTTCAGTCTGTGTTTTCTCCCTGCAACCTGTTGGGTCATTGGCTCCATTTTTCAACAAAACCCGCAGACAGAACTTCTTCAAGATATCCCAGAAACTGCAACACTCACCGAAATTCACCTGCGTCTCCTCCTGAGTTTCTTGGGTACCTTTTCCAAGCAAGGTCACCTGGAAGACCTTTGCTCTTTAGCGAAAGATGGGATGATCCACGGAACAATGGTCTTCCATGAAGAAGAGCTGAAGCAACGTGGCTTGGATTACTTGACTTCAGACTCTTCTTCTGCAAATAAGAAAGTTTTCCTCCAAGATGTTCAGGTGGGAACTTTGTACAGGTTCACCCACTTGAGTTTTCAGGAGTTCTTTGCTGCCTTGTTCTACTTGCTGGACACTGAGGAGACCACCCGAACACCTTACCAAGACTTGAGTGAGATATTTGGTGATAAGAAGGAGAGCAGCAACAGATACCTCATGTTAATCCATTTTCTCTACGGCTTGTCCAACGTGGAAAGGATGAGTGTCCTTCAAGAATCGTGGTCCTTCAAGATATCCACGACTAAGGTTCGGTCAGAATTGCTAAGCTGGGTGGATCAGAAAGCCAAGGCTCACTCCTTCAGAAGACAAGAGGATCTGCTGGAATTGTGTCATTGTATTTATGAAATGAAGGACATCGTCTTTGCCCAGACAACAATGAAGCATATCCACAATATGGATCTCAGAACACAACTTCTGACCAAGCTGGACTTTGAAGCTTTATCATTTTGCCTGTCAGCTGCTGAAACTCTGAATTCAGTTCAGCTCTCGGGCTATGAGTTTGGCCTTCAAAGATTTCAACAACTTTTACCAGGATTCTTGAAATCTTCAGAGATCCAGTAAGTAGAAAGAGATCCAAGGAATAGGCAATGGGTTCAAAACTTAACACTTGATTGTCCAGGATCCCAATCAAGACAGATAGTCCTTGACTTACAACTCGGTTTTTAAGTGAATCTGTTTTCCCCACTGACTTTGCTTGTCAGAAAGTCGCAAAAGGGATCACATAACACAGCATTGGTCATAAGTACGGACTAAATACATCTGAATTTTGATCACATGATCATCAAGGATGCTACAAAGGTTGCAGTTAGGAAGAATGGCCATAAGTCGCTTTTTTCAGCGCTGTTGCAACTTTGAATGGTCACTAAGTGAACGGTTGTAAGTTGAGAACTCTCTGTATTATATAACAAAAACCCTATAAAAATATCTGGTGTAGCGTTTCTCAACTTTGTGCACTTGAAGATGGGTGGACTTCAACTCATGAGCCGAGGTGGCGCAGCAGTTAGAGTCAGTACTGCAGGCCACTTTAGCTGACTGTGTTCAGCAGGTCAGCGGTTCAAATCTCACCGGCTCAAGGTTGACTCAGCCTTCCATCCTTCCGAGGTAGGTAAAATGAGGACCCAGATTGTTTGGGGGCAATGTAAATATATACATACTTTGCTTACTGGTGTACACCACTTAGAGAGTGCTTGCACTTAAAGCGGTATATAAGTCTCATAAATAAATAAATAAATAAACTCCCAGAATTCTCCGGCCAGCATTTCTCAGCCAGCCAACTCCCAGAATTTTCCACGGCTGGCTGGGGAATTCTGGGAATTGAAGGTTACCCATCTTCAAATGAAGAAACATTGATCCGGTGGGTAATAGAGTATGAAGAATGGGAGAATAACAGAATAACCGAGTTGGAAGGGACCTTGAAGGTCTTCTAGTCCAACCCCCTGCTCAAACAGGCGACCCCGTACCATTTCAGGCAAATGGCTGTCTATTCTCTTAAAAACCTCCAGTGAGGGAGCACTCACAACTTCTGAAGGCAGTCTCTTCCTCTGGTTGATTGTTCTGTCAGGAAATTTCTCCTTAATTCTGGGTTGCTTCTCTCCTTGATTAGTTTCCATCTGTTGCTTCTTGTCTTGTCTTCTGGTGCTTTGGAGAATAGCATGACCCCCTGCTCTTCTTTGAAGGGAAGGCTACACTTAGAATCACAGGGCTGGAAGGGACCTTGGAGATCTTCTAGTCCAACCCCCTGCTCAGGCAGGAGACCCTATCCCATCTCAAATAAATGGTTGTCCAATCTCTTTTTTAAAACCTTCATTGATTGAGCATGCACAACTTCTAGTGGTAAGTCATTCCACTGGTTAATTATTCTCACGGCTAGGAAGTTTCTCCTTAGTTCTAACTTTCTGCTCTCCTTGATTAGTTTCCATCTGTTGCTTCTAGTTCTGCCTGCAGATGGTGTTGTCTACCAATTTCCTCCATAATTATGTTTGTGCATCTCCCAATTTCCACAGGTTGAACCGCTGTGGCCTCTCCCCCACTGCATGCAAAGACTTGACACCCATCGCAATGACCAACACAAGGCTGACCAGTCTGGACCTGGGTGAGAATCCCCTGGAGGATCCCGGGGTCACCTATTTGTGTGAATGGTTTCTTCAGCCCACCTGCCAACTTCAAAGCCTCAGGTGAGCAGCCTGGGATGGTATAAGGCACGTGTGCCTGGCTGAGGAATTCTGGGAGTTGAAGTCCACAAGTCATAAAAGGGCCAAGTTTGAAGACCCCTGGTATAAGGACTTGGGCAAAGGGTAGAGTAGAAGACCTCCAGGATCCCTTCAAGGCCTAGGATTCTATGATTCTATAACCCCAGTACAAATTCTCCCCCCTCCCATTCTCTGTCTCCTACAGGCTGTACTCCTGCAATCTCACAGCCGCTATCTGCCAGCTCCTTTCACAGGTCCTGGAATCCAGCCATTCCCTTCTGGAGCTCAATCTGGGGGCGAACCCCCTGGGTGATGGGGGAGCAAAGCAGCTGTGCCAAGGGCTGAAGCACCCCTCTTCTGGGCTGCAGAGACTCATGTAAGTGGTGTTGAAGGAAAAGTCTTCATCATGGTTCAATCCAAGCCGGGAATAAACAACATGACGACTGCTTTAGAAAGAAGGTTGCAGTTTATTGAAGAGGAGAGCCAGACAGAAAGACGGCTCTGGAAGAAAAGAGAGAGAGCACATGTAGGGAGTGGGTTTTTATACCCTCTGGAGCCTTTTGTTTGGAGTTGTTTCCTGTTCCTGTTTGAGGCTTTGTATTTCCTGTGTCATGTATTCTGACCTGAGTCTGGGTGTGCCCTTTGGCATCTGTGAGTTAATCCTATTATGTCCTGTCTTAGACTTTGGATGGGGTATGTAGATTTTAGGTATCTTTGTCTTCTTAATCTCCTAGCTGGGGGCTTCCAACCTTCCTGGATTATTTACATCTGCATTTGTACAGAGCTGGTTTCTGCTTGGGGGAGAGAGACTTAGGACTATTAAGAAAACTGGACATGCTTTTCTGCCTCTTTAAGATCCTTTGAAGAAATATATTTTTCTGCCCTTTTAATATTTCCTTCTCTGGGGGAGCTGACTTCCCACAGTGGGGTGAGGGATTTCCTGATCTCAGCCCCTGGATTTCTCACAGCTTTTGGAGCTGGTTGGCAGCTGGGCATGGGGAGGCCAGCTTACACCCCTCCTTCCAAATTTCTCCTTCAGCCACCACCAAGAGCAGCAAAGGGAGTAGGGAAGCGACCAGGATATTCTTCTCCCAGGAAATTTCTCAAGCTTGTTTCAGAAGCAAAAAGTTCATTCCAGAGCAGAAATGAAAATGGAAAAAAAACCAACATTCTGAATTTTAATTCTGAAAATGAAAAGAAGTTTATTAGGAGATTAAGAGGTTATAGGAAGGTTTGGCTCCTGGTTGGATCCCCTGAGCAAATGGCTGAGCGCCATATTACATGTGGCTACACTCTTGTCTTCCACCCAGAAAGAGCCTGTTTGATCCAGTGGTGGAGGCATCTGGCTAGAAAGCAGGTGGCGGTGAGTCCTAGTCCTGCCTCAGCCAGGAAAGCCCACTGGGTCACGTTGGGCCAATCATCAGGAGACAGTGAGTTCTAGTCCCACCCTACCCATGAAAGCCGGTTGGGTGATTTTGGCGCCAATCAACAGGAGATTGAGAGTTCTAGCCCCGCCTTAAGCATGACAGGCAGCTGGGCAACATTGGGCCAGTCACCAGGAGATGGCGAGTTCTAGTTCTGCCTTGGGCACGAGAGCCAGCTGGATGACTTTGGGAAAACAGGGGGAGGAAGGTATGTTGGATATGCTCACTGCCTTATTTGTAAAATTAATAGAGGTGGGATGCAAAAATAAGTAACTATTTTTAATCCAATTTATAGGCTGTCCATCTCATTGTCCAAGGTGACTCTGGGCAGCTTACAATATTTGCATTCTGCACACGCCCTCTGGCAACGCCTTCATCCTTGGTCCTTCACTGCTGTCTCAACCATCCTTATAATAACCATCCTACAGAGCACGTAGCTGGTTGTGTGAATGTCATAGTTGTGCTTCTTGGAGTCCTTTGTATGAGTCGGAAGTAGGATGAGATCCAAACAGGCACCCTTGCCCTCAGATGTCACCAGCAGTTTCCGTCGTTCTGTTTGCAGCAGGGAAAGTGGCAAAAAAAATAATAATAATCATGCTATCACGGTGTGTTTGGCAACCAGCCATAAATACAAGCAGATTGCGAAGTACTCAGCAGAATAACAGAGTTGGAAGGGACCTTGGAGGTCTTCTAGTCCAACCCCCTGCTCAAGCAGGAGATCTTATACCATTCCAGACAAATGACTGTCCAGTCTCTTCTTGAAAGCCTCAAGTGATGATGATGATGATGATGATGATGATGATGATAATAATAATAATAATAATAATAATAATAATAATAATAATAATAATAATAATAAAGTTGGAAGGGACCTTGGAGGTCATCTAATCCAATCCCCTGCTCAGGCAGGAAACCCTATACCATTTCAGACAAATGGCTGTCCAGTCTCTTCTTAAAAACTTCCAGTGTTGGAGCATTCACCACTTCTGGAGGCAGATTGTTCCACTGGTTAATTGCTCTAACTGTCAGGAAGTTTCTTAGTTCTAGGTTGCTTCTCTCCTTGGTTAGTTTCCATTCGTTGCTTCTTGTCTTGCCTTCAGGGGCTTTGGAGAATAGCTTGACTCCCTCTTCTTTGTGGCAGACCCTGAGATATTGAAACATGGCTATCATGTTCCCCCTCGTCCTTCTCTTCATTAAACGCGACATACCCAATTCCAGCAACCGTTCCTTATGTTTTAGCCTCCAGTCCCCTCATCATCTTTGTTGCTCTTCTCTGTACTCTTTCTAGAGTCTCAGCATCTTTTTTACATGTCCTTGTCTTCTATTACAGTTTACACTCCTGTGGCATGACAGCCCTTGCCTGTGAAGACCTGGCCTCTGTTTTGGAGACCAGCCAGACCCTCTTGGAGCTGAACCTGGGCGATAACAGCCTGGGAGATGAAGGAGTCAGGCAGCTATGCCAGGGGTTGAGACAAAGGCACTGCAAGGTTCAAAAGTTGATGTAAGTGTACAGTTTTTCCAGGGACCTGGGAAAATAGTTTGACCCCCTCGTCTTTGTAGCAGCCCCTCAAATATTGGAATATTGCTATCAATATGATAAATAATAAATAATTATAAACAAATAATAGCCCTTCCAACTATGTTATCATTGGGAATGGGACATTTAGCTTGTCTTTTTGTTTTTTTGAGCGGATCTTGGTCAACGACCGAAATAAAGTCCTTTGAGCTTTGAGTGGAACAGAAGCGACAACCTTGCCATCTTAAGTTGACTCTCATCTTCCAGCCCAGATTCGCTGAATTTCTCAGTCTCCCAAAAGCTGCTATGAAAAATAAAGATGATTTAATCTCTGCATAATGTTTTGTCAAGAGGTCTCCCAACCACCTGGCTGATGGGCAACACCCATATCAGCTTCCAAAACAAGGCCACGTGGCTCATGAATTTATGCCAGAATTGGCATCTTTGCTCAAAAGACTGACCTCTTTCGACATGTCTCTCAGCTCTTCTAGTCTAACACTCAGGTCAGGAATAAATCCTATACCTGTGGTGGCGAACCTATGGCACGCGTGCCACAGGTGGCACGCAGAGCCCTCTCTACAGGCACGTGCACCATCGCCCCAGTCCTAGGCCTTCAGCTGGGTTTTATAAAACCTTTTCGCTTTAGGCCGCCACCGCTGTGTGAAAAAAAAAAAGGTTCAATCAATCAACCAATTTCAACTTCTTGCGGGAAAAAAAAAGATCTTGCAAAGTTGGAATTGATTGATTGAACTTTGTAGTCCCACCCAGTCTGCCGTTACCACCGTAGCCACGCCCACCCAATGGGCCACACCCACCCAATGGGCCACGCCCACCCGGCACCCAACGATGCATAAGTGGGTTTTGAGTTGCAGTTTGGGCACTCGGTCTCTAAAAGGTTCGCCATCACTGCCCTATACCTTTCCAGACAAATGGCTGTCCAATCTCTTTTTGAAAACCTTGAGTGATGGAGCACTCACAACTTCTGGAGGCAAGTAGTTCCACAGATTAATTGTCCTCCCTGTCAGGAAACTTCTCCTTAGTTCCAGGATGCTTTTCTTCTTAATTAGTTTCCATCCATTGCTTCTTGTCCTGCCTTCAGGGGCTTTGGAGAATAGCTTGACACACACACCCCCAACTCCCTGCAGAGCTGCTGATGAGCAGAGATTTGCAAGCCAAGTTGTATTCTTGAGAGTGTCCCAATTCTGATGCTTTGCTTTGTTTTGTTTCTCCTCCTTCCAGACTTACAATGAAATCGTTAAACCAAAACACGAAGTGGAAATTGCGGGCAGCTTGTGCGAGGCATCCTGGCTTAGTTCTGACTCCCTACTATCCTCCGGATTTCCCCCGCTTCCCAGGTGATGAAGAGTAAAGGTGGAGTTCACACCTGCTTTCCTTGGGCCCCCTCAAGGATTGGAAGGTTGGTGAGGTGGGTGGTAGATCGGGAAACCTTCAAAGGCCAGCTCAGCTCAGCTCACCTTTTGCATTACCTGTTGCATCGCAGTCATATATCTGATTCACATGCCTGGCTATGAGGCTTATGATTGCCCTCTGGACTTAGAGCAAGTGGGACTTGGCCATGTGGAAGATTTTTTCAACTGGGATCCCCAAAGGGGGGATAATCCCCAACTAGCATGTCAGAAGAATATCCTGCTCCGGTTTGAACCGGGATTGGCATAAGAATGATACTGGAGTCACTGCTTGAAGAGGAAGAAGTATATTCAACAAAGATGATTAGCGAACTGGAGCTAAAACATATGAAGAACAGTTGCGGGAATTGGGGATGCCTAGTTCAGGGGTAGGCCTGCCCTTGGCTCTTTTATGACTCGTGGACTTTGATGAAAGTTAGCTCAGAAGGAAATATTAAAAAGGGCAGAAAAATATATTTTTCTTCAAAAGGACTTTTTAAAACCAAACTTGGCCCCAAATCTATCTCTCTGCCCCAAGCAAGAGCCAGGCCCATACAAATGCAAATGTAAAACCATCAGAAAGTTGGAGCCAGAGCAATCAAGAAGACAAAAGAGAAGATCTGCATACCCCACCCAAACTCTAGGAGTCAGCCCCATCACCTGGGAAGCAGGATATGATAATAGAATTAAACCACAGATATCAAGGCCTAGACAAACACTCAGAAACAGCCTCAAGGTTCATGCCACAGGAACAGGAAACTATTCCAAACAAGGCTAGAGGGGGTATAAAAGCCTACTGCCCCATGTGCTCTCTCTCTGTGCTCTCTGCCCTTCTCTCTCCTCTGCACTTTCCTGAAGAACCATCTTTCTGCAATAAACTGTAACCTTCTTCCCAAAGCAATCACCATGCTTGCTTATTTATTCCCGGCTTGGATGAACCAGGATGAAGACTTTACTTCTAGCAATTTGGCACCCCAGATGGGACTCCAAGCTAACCTCTCCAATGGACTGAGACTGGTAAGCCCCATCTTGCCGGCAGCAGACCCCCTTGTGTCTGTGGATGGGTTTCCCAGGCCTTGCCCATGTGGAGCTAGGGTAGTAAAGGGAGTTTTGAGAGTTTGAGCTCAAGGGCTGCTTTGGAAAGAAGGTGAAGGTGAGTACCTCTAAATTTTAAGTTAAAAGCCCAGGGGAACAAAGAAAATGTGTGTATTTCTGTTTGTGTGAGTGAGAAGATCTTTTTTTCCCAATCACAGTTGGATTTTGCTGCTTCTGGTCTTTCCTAGCCACAGAAAGGATCTGTTTGATTGGCAGAACCTGGACAGCATGGGGGTTGGCCAGAGCACAGAACCTTTTGTTAGGGAAAAGGGAGAGTGTGTGAAAATGAAATGGAATGAGTGAATGAAAAAAAAATGGATTTGGGCAACTAGCTGGTAAGGCCCTGTAAGCAAAGCAAAGTTAGGAAAGAAGTCTTGCAAGGAGACTTCGACTGTGTAGTGCCCTTTAGGTTTGGAAAGAAGTCTCACAAGGAGACTTCGACTGTGTTAGGAAAGAAGTCTCACAAGGAGACTTCGACTGTGTTTGGAAAGAAGTCTCACAAGGAGACTTCGACTGTTAGGAAAGAAGTCTCACAAGGAGACTTCGATTGTGTTAGGAAGAAGTCTCACAAGGAGACTTTGACTGTGTAGTGTATAGAAAAAAATAGACTTTGCTTAGGGCTTTGCTGGGAAACCAATTTGGCTAAATAAAGGTACTAAAAAGGGAAAATAAGAAATAGTTATTCTCCCTCTCTCTATCTCTATCCCTCTCTTCTCTATGCAACCACGTGGTATGTTTAAAATGTGTGCCTTCCCTAACTTGAGTTATCTGAAATTTATGGTGGGAATGACTAGGATGTGTAAAATTAAGACTTCTGTTCTCTTGTATTTGTGTATATATGTTTGTCAAAGTCTGTGTGTGAGAGGTAAATGTGACTGTTAACTGTTTCAAATCCAAAGGAAAAAGAATTTTAAATTCTGCTAGAAATTCTGCTTAAAATAAGCCACAAAAAGGAAATACCTCACTCTGTTTGTCTGGCCAACAAACAGAGTGAAGAAAAAGAATTGTGTTTGTTTGTTTGTTTGTTTTCCTCTTTCTCTGTGTACGCTCAAGAACAGCCTTAAGTTACCAGGAGGGATTGTTTTTTAAGTTTATCTGTTGGAAAAGTTTCACTTGCATTTACTGTATGTGTTTTATCTATCCTTTCCCTGAAAAATGTGTGTCTATCTACAAGAGCCTTTTGAAGCTCAAGTCTGCTTGTGTGGGGAAATAATTTTCCTAAGTTACTTTTCATATCCTAAAACTTACTGGTGAAACTACTATGAAACTTTTCTGAAACAAATAAGCATTTTCTAATCTCTAAAATAATGTGGTCTATTTTAGAATAAATGTTCTCCTACCCTTGGCAAGTTGCACACCTTAAAATATTAGGCTTTTAAAATTATTAGGAGTTTTCAGCATTTTCAAACTGCCTGCAAGCTACCCCCCTTCCAATTCTTTTCCTGCCCTTTGTTCTCCATACCTTTTGTCTGCCTTTCCTGGTAGAGTCCACCCAGAAAGCGGGGGGGGGGGAGACCTTGTTCTTGTATCTTTCAGCCCTGAAACCCTCTCGCAAGCCTTTGGAAGCAGAACACACAGACCCAGATGCTGCCTCCATCCGTGTGAGCCATGGAATTGAGTTTTGAATCCAGCCATCCACTAAAAAGCCACCATGCAATCTAAAGGGGAACATCTTCCCAAGTCCTACCATTTACCCAGATGCCTGTGAGAGCTGCAGAAGGAAGGTGGTGCCATGTGAAGCCTCAGAAGAGAAAATTAGACTATGGGGGGAGGGTGGAAACTCATTGTAAACTTTTCTTTCTTGCCCCATTTGTATTGTAACAAGCCAGTTGAATGTATTAATGGAGAGATGGCATTTAGGAATAGGTGGCAGAACAAGTACTGAACACCTTGGACTTCTATCTGGTGGGAGGGAAAATTTATCCAGAATGTTTGTATTGACTATTTTGTAAAAGTGCACACACACACACCATTCAGAATCATACTTGAGTCTATCCCCTCCACCTACCTTTAGTAAAGTTCCCCCCAGGCTGATTTTTGCTCTATTGCACCAAAGCTTTGTGGGACCAACTTCCAACAGATTCCAAGGGGGAGGGAACTAGGCCCCCTCAGGTGATTTGCAATTCATATGCCCTGACTAAGGAAGCAACAGGAAAAATCCCAAACTTCAGCCCTGAATATCTTGCACTGTTGGGCTCAGATTGGGATTCCTAGAGCTCATTATGTGCAATTTAAAGAAAAATTTAATAGCCTGGCATATTGGACATTACAAACCTGGATGCACTGAATTAAGAGCTAAGGCAGGAAACAACCCTTGAAATTGGGCAGCCAGTGGTCATGTACTAAGGAAAACCATGGCTGTGAAGAATTTTGGGAGGTATGCAAACCTGACTGGAAGCTAAAGGTGACATCCAACATTTGAAAATGATTGGCACAGAATATTGGATACTATAAATTTCTTTTCCACCTAACAAAATTTTGCCCTGACTTTTAGAACTTTATAGGTGCAAGCTCCCCTTTTGGGAGCCACTAAAGGGATCTTTTTCTGCTGCCTCCATTAATGTCTTATTTTTCTTTTTTTTTTTTTTGCTTAACAGTTTAAAAGCTTGTCTACCAAGTCTCCCTGACCAGATCAATTTTAATGTTGTGCCAATAAGTGTGTCATAAATATACACTTAAGGCACAAAGCGGGGGATTGATGAAAGTTAGCTCAGAAGGAAATATTAAAAAGGGCAGAAAAATATATTTTTCTTCAAAAGGACTTTTTAAAACCAAACTTGGCCCCAAATCTATCTCTCTGCCCCAAGCAAGAGCCAGGCCCATACAAATGCAAATGTAAAACCATCAGAAAGTTGGAGCCAGAGCAATCAAGAAGACAAAAGAGAAGATCTGCATACCCCACCCAAACTCTAGGAGTCAGCCCCATCACCTGGGAAGCAGGATATGATAATAGAATTAAACCACAGATATCAAGGCCTAGACAAACACTCAGAAACAGCCTCAAGGTTCATGCCACAGGAACAGGAAACTATTCCAAACAAGGCTAGAGGGGGTATAAAAGCCTACTGCCCCATGTGCTCTCTCTCTGTGCTCTCTGCCCTTCTCTCTCCTCTGCACTTTCCTGAAGAACCATCTTTCTGCAATAAACTGTAACCTTCTTCCCAAAGCAATCACCATGCTTGCTTATTTATTCCCGGCTTGGATGAACCAGGATGAAGACTTTACTTCTAGCAACTTCAACTCCCAGAATTCCTGAGCCAGCATGGCTCAGCTTGGAAACCTCTCCCTTTCCCCTCAGCATGGCTGACTCAGGAATTCTGGGAGTTCCACGAGTCATAAAAGAGCCAAGGTTGCCTACCCCTGACCTAGTTTAATGAAAAGAAGGACCTGGAGCAACATGATAGCAATATTCCAGTATTTGAGAGGTTGCCACGAAGATGAGAGGTTCAACCTGTTCCCCAAAGCACCAGAAGGCAAGGCAAAACCAATGGATGGAAACCAATCAAGGAGAGATTCAACCTAAAACTAAAGATGAATTTCTTGACAGTGAGAACAATTAATCAGTGGAACGACTTGCCTGCAGAAGTTCTGGTTACTCCACCACTGGAAGTTTTCAAGAAAAGATTGGACAGCCATTTGTCCTGAATAGTATAGTGTTTCCTGCTTGACTAGGGGGTTGGACTAGAAGGCCTCCAAGGTCCCTTCCAATTCTGTTATTCTGTTTTTCAAGAGCATAGAAGCAGCCCTTGAGGTAGCTACAATTTTGGATATAGAGGCTGGTAATGATGATCCTTTGTGAGATGTGTGTGTGAATGTGCCCTTTGTAATGTTTAATTTGGTGGACATGCAGCTGCAGTAGGGATGGCCTTATTTTATTTTGCTGAGTGTGTTGATCTTTTCTTTGACGTGTGTCTATGTGCTGATTCTGGAATGCCACATCTATACGCTCAGGGAAGTTTGTATTATCAGGGATTTTCCTGATAATACAATTATTATTATTTGCTTGATTTAATCAATTTCAGCCTGGCTGTCAATTATCGGCTAAAACTAGTTGAAGAGTATTTGCAACCTTATATTGTCTTTGCAAAATAGTTTCTGAGGTTGTTTTCTTGCAGATGTTTCACAACCCAGACTAGGATTACCACTGATGATGTTACCTAGTTGGGTCATGAAACATTTGCAAGAAAATAACCCACTTCAGAAAGCACCAAAGACCCCACATTCCTCCTCCTCCTCCTTCCTTCTAGCATTGATGATGTTACCTAGTTGGGTCCTGAAATGTCTGTAAGAAAACTACCCACTTCAGCAAGCATCAAGGACCCGATATTCCTCCTCCTCCATCTCCTCCTCCTCCTCGCACTGATGATGTTACCTAGTTGGGTCCTGAAACGTCTGCAAGAAAACAACCAAGCTTGGAGAGCACCAAGAACCCCACAGTTCTCCTCCTCCTCTTCCTCCTCCTCCATACTGCACACCTCTCTCCCTCCTAGGACTGATGATGTTACCTAGTTGGGTCCTGAAACATCTGCAAGAAAACAACCAAGCTCAGAGAGCACCAAGGACCCCCTACACTTCAACCCTGAGCTACAAATATTCTCCTTTATTAATACTTATTAATATACTGTCTTCTGGCTACAGGCACGTATATGATTAACAAAGTTCACAGGGAGTGGAAGAATAAAATTACTCCGAGTTGTAAAATTATTTCAACAAGCATAAAGAGCTTCAGGGGGAATGGCCAGCGTTCTGAACTGGACTGGGATGCTGACCAGCAACCAAATTGGTGCTACTCATGACTTGCAGGATTGTTGTGCAGATAGTCCTCGACTTACAACCACAACTGAGAACCCCATTTGCAACCTTCCCAGCTGGCTTCGAACAAGCAAAGTCAACGGGGAGGAGCCGATTCGTTTAACAACCGCAATGGTTCACTTAACCATTGGGTGCAACTCCCTTAACTGCCAACTTGCTTAGCAGCTAAATTCTGGATCCAATTGTGGTCATAAATCGAGGACTTAACCAGCGGTAAAAAATGACCCCTCCCCTTCGAGGAGCAGACGAGTGACCAGTCTGTGGAGCTTCATCACTGGAGGCTTTCAAGAACAGATGGACAGCCAGTGGCCCAGAATAGTATAAGGCAGTAGTGGCGAACCTATGGCACGTGTGCCAGAGGCAGCATGCAGAGCCCTCTCTGTGGGCACGCGCACCATCGTCCCAGTCCCGCCTCCCCCCATGGACCCCTCCTCACCAGCAGCCCCCCGGAGGAGAGTTGCCCCCAGGCACGGCCCAAACAGAGCAGTGCAGCCAAGGACATGGCAGCTGGACAGCTTGCAGATGATCCTGTGGAGTGCGGACAAAGGACATGGCTGCCATAGCACTGCAGGGCTGCCTGGGTGATCTGCAGCAGGCCGTGGAGGCGGTAGGTGGCCCTGCAGACGTATGGGGGCATGGGCGTGGCAGGGGCAGAGTGGGGGCAGGCGGGGTGGTTTTGGGGCACTCGGTGTCTAAAAGGTTCACCATCACTGGTATAAGGTCTTCTGCTTGAGCAGGGGGTTGGACTAGAGCAGTAGTGTCCAGATTGATTCACCCTTTTACCCTCGCTCATAGCTTTACGGGTGGGATGGGATGCAGCACCGGAAGGAGTGGTATCTAGGCAATCGAGGCTTCTGAGAGTCAAGGTCACTAATGCAGCTGCTCAGCAGAGAAGTGGACTGTTTCCATAACAAGAACAAATGTTACTATTGGACAATATGAACACCTGGTGGGTGGGGATGAGGGAGTTTATTGTTTAACTAAGCAAGCCTTCGAGCCGGAAAATCAGAGCTGGTTTTGCTTCTTCTGTGCCAATGTAAATTTTCAGTAAAGTATTAGACTCTTGGTAAAATCATGTCCGAGGAATTTCTTTTTCTGGAAAAAGAGCCGAGGTGGCACAGCAGTTAGAGTGCAGTACTGCAGGCCACTTTAGCTAACTGTGTTCAGCAGGTCAGCGGTTCAAATCTCACCGGCTCAAGGTTGACTCAGCCTTCCATCCTTCCAGGGTAGGTAAAATGAGGACCCAGATTGTTGGGGGCAATGTAAATATATATATACATTGCTTACTGGTGTACACCGCTTAGAGAGTGCTTGCACTTAAAGCGGTATATAAGTCTCATAAATAAATAAATAAATAAATGCCAACTGGACAGTTGACAAACGGTCCCCTACCTTTGCGGCTTGGTGGCACGGCTACGGGTGGGGGAGACAGGAACCAGGCCATACGAGCAATAGGCCGATGCATGTGCACAGTGCAATTTGACTGCAAGTGTGCACTAGCCTGCTGCTTGCATGAGCTGAGCTGCATGCGCATGCCAGCCCACTGCTCACATGGCTCAGTTCCAAATAAGCCACAGCCTAGTAGTGGGCTGTAGCCTGGATTTGGGGATCTTTGGACTAGAGGACCTTCCAAGTCCCTTCCAAGTCTGTTATTCAGTGGAAAGGCTTGCCTTCAGAAGTTAGTGGGTGCTCCATCCCTGGAGGTTTTTAAGGAAAGATTGGACAGCCATTGGTTAGGAATAGTATGAGTTCTGCTTGAGCAGGAGGTTGGACTAGAAGACCTCCAAGGTCCCTTCCAGCTCTGTTTCTCTCTTAATTAATCAGCGGGAAGCTTGCCTCCAGAAATTGTGGGTGCTCCATCCCTGGAGTCTTTCAAGAAGAAACTAGACAGCTATTTGTCCAGAATACTATAGGGTCTCCTGCTTGAGGACCTCCCAAGGTCCCTTCCAACATTATTCTATGTTCTTTCAGGCACTGCAGACCCTAAACACAACACTGCCAAAAATGAAGATTTATTGGTGAAAAGGTACTGCAGAATAGAGCCCATCTACTTAGCCGCCCCCAATTTTTTTCCCTGCACCCCACCGTATTTCCCAGTTCTCCTGGTTTTGGAAAGTTCCTGGCTTTTCTTCCAGAAGCAGAGCTTCCCTTTTAGGATGTTCCTGCAGAGATGCAGTTTCCCCTGCAGGATGCTGCTGAGGGTGGAGCTCTGCTTGTCCACGGAAGCGTATGGTGGTTGTGGTGGTCTCCCTCCCTGTCCTCCTCTGCCTTCCCTTTTGTCTCTCTTTCGGCCTCTTCCATCCTCTTCCTTCGGTCTGGGGCTCTGCCTCCAAATGGACAGTCCCTGTTGCAAGTTCAATTTCTTCTCCAGGATGTTACCCAAAATGGTCATCTTTTCACTACCCGAAGACCTCTGTTCTTGAGGTCTCTTGTGGGCTCCTTGTCTAGGAACCTCCAAGGTCTGGCTGAGCTTTGGGTCAAAGGCCAGCCTTCTGATGACAAGACGTTCTTGGTGTGTTTCCTTGGAAGACCAGTTTACCTTCACCTGTTTCTTCTTCCCAGCTTTTGGGGGCCTTCCAGGTGAACAGCTGATAGGCCTCATCCTTCTAGGGAGAGGACATTGGACCCCACTCTTCTGCCCCACAGTTCCTGCTTGCATGAGGTCTACTGGAATCTGCCTTTTCTGCCAGATGACCACATCCTTACCCTCTGGAATTTCACTTGGTTTTAGGACACCATGATCTTTAGGTGATCCCACAACTACTTTTGCTAGTCCGCTGCAAAGCCGATCACCGGTGATGACTCTTGCTTCTTCTGAGAGAGCCACCAAGGATGGGGCAGAGTCCTCAGCTAAAGGGGGTTGTCTCACTACTGAGGAATTAGCCCATGTCCAGCTGCCCATCTCTTCTCTGAAGGACTCTTCTGCTCCCTTGTTCTGATCTTCCCACTTCACTTCCAGCCTTCTTCCTTGGTCCCAGTCATCTTCCCTCATGACTTTACATTCTGTGCTGCCTTGGGACAGGGTCTTTAGGGACAAAAGGCTCTGCTCCTTAGCGATGGAAAAGGTGACTCTCTCCTTTCTCCCCTCTTCCTTACTATCTGTCTTCAGGGTCAAGCTACAACTTTCATGATGGACCTGAAGTTCAACATCTGTCCTTACAAAGTCTTGATTTTGATGGAGGCCCTTTCTACTCTCCTTGGGAGGTTGAACATCTTGGTCTTCTGTGGAGGACCTCTTTCCTCTAGAGGATGAAGGATGTTGCAGGTAGAGGAATCTCTCGCAGTCGGAGAACCAACGGTCCAGCAGTTGGGTTCTAAAAAATGTTTGGCACCTGGTTGCTTGTTCCAGAGAATGGTCAAGGAACTCTCTCCACGTAAGCCTACTTCCTCTCCTTTGTAGTCTACTGCTCTGTCTGGCATGATGCCCCCTCCTGATGTGCCTGTAACATCTGGCTACAACATCCTCATAGCAGGAATTGGGAACAAGAACATGGTGTGGGAAAAAATATGAGACTTGTTGAGAAATAGGAGCATGATACGGTTGAACGTGTGCCTCCCAAGGCCTGTAATACATCTTGGCAGCTTCTGACTCTTGAAGAGAAGAACGACTCATGTTGTCTCCTGAGGACCCTTCCAACTCTGTCATGTTGTCTCCTGAGGACTCTTCCAACTCTGCCATGTTGTCTCCTGAGGACCAAGGAGAATCCTGAGCTTCGTTGTCTTCTGCTAGTAGAGAGGAATCGTCTACTACAGCTTCCCCTCTCTTCCCTAAGACTTGCTTCTTTTTCTTCTTTTTTTCTGGCCATTTTGGTTGTCTATCAGACTTTGACGAGGAGATTGAGGCTTTCTTGGGGGCTGATGAATGACAGGAAAGACAGCTGGATATCTTAGGAGACTTTTTCAGTTCCCTGCTAGGAGCTGAAGGTTTCACAGGAGTGCCTCTCTGTTTGGTTGTCCTCTGAGAACCGTCTTCCATTTGCCAGGTGACCATCTTTGCCTTAAAGCCTGGGAGAGGCATCTTGTTCTTCACCCTTGGTGTGGTCCTTCCACTTCCAATCTTCACTTTTTGGAAGCTGGCTATATTTTCAACACTGGACATGTAATCCCTGGTGGTGTATGCAGAAGGAGAGGAAGGTGGCAGGATCTGAGGATCTTCTGTCCCGTTAGAAATCCTTGAAGGCTGCACAGAGGTGGCTAGGGGTAGATATGGCAAGAGAGGCTGGGATCCAGTCATCTCAAAGCAAGAAGGAGATCTAGGTGGCAAGAGCACGCTCAGAGATCGCTGAACCCTTTCTGGAAGTCCCCATCGATGCTCTGACGTAAGATGTCTCAGGTGGGCCTCCAAGAGTTCCTTTACATCAACGCTGAGAAAATCGAGGTCTTGACTAAGGATTTGCACTTCTCCTCTATCACGTGGGCGAAACTTGCCCACAGTTTCTGCGGTGATCTTCTCTGCTTTAAAGAGATGTGGGGCAAAAGCTTGCAACGATTTTAGCACTGTTGATGGCAAGCCCCACGCATGCTGGATTCTCTTCCACTGGATGTGGAATTCCAGAAGGTTCCGGCTGCTCTCTGGGAGGAAAGAGAGCTCGGTACCAGAGCAAATCTGGACTTTAGTTTGCCTAGACTTGCCTGTTGCCCTCTGTCTCTTATTGGCAACTTTGCTCTTGGGCTTTTCTAAGGTCTTCTGCTTGAGCTCTGGCTTAAACAATACCGGTTCATAGATGTCTGCGGCTTGCAAATCAGGTCCACTTTTCTGTAAGGATTTGGGTGGTAAAGGCAAGAGAGGCTGGAATCCAGTCATCCCGGGATGAGAAGGAGATCCGGGTGGTAGGAAGGCCCTCAGAGATTGCCAAACTCTTTCTGGAAGGCCCCATCTGTGCTCTGATGTACGATGTCTCAGATGGGCCTCCAAGCGTTCTTTCACCTCAATGCTGAGGAAAAGAAGGTCTTGACTAAGGATCTGCACGTCTATTTTTTCCCTTCTGGGTTTCCTAGATGTGATTTTCCCAGTAGTCCTCTCTGATTGAAGAAGATACGGGGCAAAGACATGGAGAGATCTAAGCACCATCGATGGTAGGCCCCATGCATGCTGGATTTTCTTTCGTTGGATGTGGAATTCCAGAAGGTTCCGGCTACTCTCTGCGAGGAAAGAGAGCACCATTTTGGTACCAAAGCAAGTCTGGGCTTTAGTTTGGCTAGGCCTACCTGTTGCTCTTTGTCTCTTATTGCCAATTTTGCTCTTGGGCTTTCCTAGAGTCCTCTTCGTCTTGGCCTCTGGCTTAAAAATCACCAGTTCGTAGATGTCTTCAGTTGTCTGTAAGGATTTGGGTGGTAAAAGCAAATGAGGCTGGGATCCAGTCACCTCAGGACGAGAAGGAGATCCGGGTGGAAGGAATGCCCTCAGAGATTGCTGAACCCTTTCCGGAAGGCCCCATCTGTGCGCTGATGTGCGATGTCTCAGGTGGGCCTCCAAGCGTTGCTTTACCTCAATGCTGAGGAAATTGAGTTCTTGGCTAAGGATTTGCAAGTCTCTTATCTCCCTTCTGGGTGTCCTAGATGTGGTCTTCCCAATAGTCCTCTCTGATTGAAGAAGATACGGGGCAAAGACGTGGAGAGATCTAAGCACCATCAATGGTAGGCCCCATGCATGTTGGATTTTCTTTCGTTGGATGTGGAATTCCAGGAGGTCCCTCTCCTCAATGGGGAGGAAAGAGAGCACTATTTTGGGACATAAGCGCCTCATTCCTTCAGTAGCCCCTCCTGTCTTAACTGGTAATGCTTTTGGAGGTGTCTTCATCACCCCCAAATGGTGCTTTGCCTTTTGCAATGGCACTGAAATTTGGGGAGCAGATGATATGTCTTGAAATGGTCTATGCTTGCAAGGCCAGACAGACTGTCCTGGAACCTGGGAAGAGGGGAGAGGAGGAAGGAATGGATGAAATGAATGTTGAATCCTTTTTGGAATCTCCCACTTATGCTTTATGGCCATGGTCCTCACGCTGGTCTCCAGATGTTCCTGTGTATTTGTGTTGAGGAACCAAAGCTGCTGGGCCTTCGTTTCCAAATCTGCCTTGTCTCTTGGACTCCTCTGGGTTCTCTTTCTGGTGTGCTTCTGTAGGTCAAGCGGAAAAGGAGCAAATATTCGCAGAGATTTCAAGATGGCGGATGGCAGTCCCCATGCGTGCTGGATCTTCTTGTGGGTGACATGAAACTCCAAAAGATCCCAGGACGTATGGATGTAGAAAAGCAGCCTCACCTCAGGGGATCTGATGGCAGCCACTGGAAAGCTGGAACTAGTTCTTGCATCTGGTTTCCTCTGGTGGATGTTCTTCATAGGCTTTATGGTGGCTTCTTTCCAGGATGGAGATCCTTCTCTTCTGGAATGGGAAGTATGAGCTGCCTCTTGCAGGTGGAATCCCAAATGACGTTCACAGTGGGGTTTTTCATCAGTGACCTGTGGAGGAGGAACCATTGCTCTCAATGAATCTTGGATCAGTTGAGGAAGGCCCCATTTATGTTCCCTGGTCCAACACTTCACATGGGATTCCAGGCGATCTTTTGCATCTTGACTAAAAAAATGCAAACAACGGGGAGCGACCAGCACTTTACTCAGAGACGATGGCACTTGTACCCCCCTATGTGTTTTTCTTCCATCTCCCAATCTCTGCAGACCTCTGAAGGACCTCTTCTGAGGCTCAGGTGGGACCGGTGCAAAAGCCTGTAGAGATTTGTGTACAAGAGCAGGTAATCCCCATTCATGCTGGATCCTCTTGTATTGTACATGTAATCCCATAAATTCCAGGTCTTCCTGTTTAAGGGACATGGGGGTGGTCTGTTTGTCAAGTGCCATCTTTTCTCTCCCAGACCTTGAGACTTTTTCTTGGGACATTTTTCCTAGAAAATCAGCTTTGGGGAGAGCCCTCTTGACTGTGGTTACATGATGTATGTTTTCTGCTTTGTGCCGTTGCTTTGAGGCAGTCTGGAAGAGTCGGTTGTAGGCATGCCATGGGGTTTTGGCTTGACCCTGGTCGCCCTCAACTTGGGAATGAGAAGCAGGGGGCAGAAACATTTTCAATGATTCCTGGACCCGTTTGGGAAGACCCCATCGATGGGCTGCAGTTCGGTTCTTCATGTGAGCCTCCAGTAGCTTCTGCGTCGCAAGAGCCACGAAAAACAAGCTCGTGGTTATTTTAATTGTCACTTTTAATACACCCCATGAACCGGTAATGGCAATGCCAAATCCCTCCAAAAGCTGTTCTGGTTCTAAAGCAAAGGCCTGAAGAGATTTTTGAACCATGGATGGTAATCCCCATTCATGTTGTAACTTCTTGCGCCGAACGTGCATCTCCAGAAGGTCCAAAATCTCTGTTTGGACAAAACATGGACCTTTCCTTGAGAATCTCAATTCTTTTGTTCTGGAACCCATTGCATTGACTGTTTGATTCTCCTGGCCAACATTCTTCTCCAGAGTCCATCTCCTGAGCTTGGACATCTCTAGTAGTGGGCTTCCTACAATAACATTGCCAAACATCTTGTTCAAGGATTTAGTGTAGATACTGGGAAGACCCCAAAGATGCATTAATTGCTTGTGTTTAATGTTCAAGTTCATCTTTTCCACAACATCCTGTTCCACAAAATACAAGCAAGATGGTCTGGGTTTGATTTCTGAGGACACAAGGGAACATTTAGGAAGGAAAGCATGTTTGATGGGACCAGAAAACTTCTTATATCCTATTAACTGGAACTTAATCTCCAGAGATTTTTTCTTGAGGTGAGTCTCCAGAGTATATCTAAGCAGATCTTCTAGACATCCCTTGTTCTTTGGGAGGAGAGCATTGGTTTCTTCCCACCTTCCACTGTCCACCTGAGTTTCTCCAAATGTGGCTTGAGGTTTCTCCTCTGGAACGAGGGAGTGAAAAAACTTTACAGACCGATGGACTTTCTGAGGGATGTCCCACCTTCGCTGTAACTTTAGCCGTTGAAGGTGGAGCTCCAGGTTTTGTTTGACCGTCTCAGAAAGGAAATGCAACTCTAGATGAAGCAAGGAGATCTGAGTCACCTCCTTTGGAAGATCACGATGCCAGTTGGGTGCTTCTCCAATTAAGCTTCTAAGTGACCTCTGGACCAGGGTAGAATATCCCCACTCGTGTTGTAGTCTCTTCTTCTTAACATGCATTTCTAAGTTTTCTCTGACTGCATTTTTGAAAAACAGGGACTTTACTTCTGAAAATTCAACGGGGATCTCTTTAAACTTGACTGAAGACAAAGGTCCTCCAGGACACATAGCTGCCAATATCTCCACATACTTCAGCCCCAGGCCCCAGAGGGATACCAAGCGACCCCGTTGCAAAGCTACTTCGATCCGACCCATGGCTGCCAAGTCAAAGAAGAGGCAGGGGCTACGAGTCTGTGGGGTCTTGAGACCAGGAAGGATCAGTTTGGGAAGGGGTTGGCTTGCAGACAACCACACACAGCGCCATGAGATTCGTGAGAGAGCAGGAAAGGTTTCCAAGCGCACCTCTAAATGTTTCTTAGTCAGGTGGACCTCCAGCTTCTTCAGGGCCTGAAGGCTTAACTTCCGAAGTGACTGAGCTGGACATAATCCAACTCCTTGCATCTTTTGAATGTCCAGTTGAGGTTTTACAAGGCCCCCTGCCCGTGTTTTTATCCCTAGACCGGGCTTCCGTGAATAGTGTTTCACCAACAGCTTGGTCTTCTCTTTGTAGAAAAGTTCTGGGAACAGGCATCTGCATGACTGGAGAACTCTTCTGGGCAAACCCCATCTCTGCTGGAGCTTCATCCTCTGAAGGTGGAACTCTAGGAAGTTGGTGACTTTTGGAGGAAGGAAAAGTAGCTCTTGAGGGAAGATGGAGGCTTGAGTGACAGCCTTTGAAGGACGCAGTGGGGACATGTGGCCACTGAAGTTCCTCAGGGATCTCTGGACCATGAAAGGAAGACCCCACTGGTGCTGTATCCTTTTCTTCCTAAGGTGCATCTCCAAGACCTCCCTGGCTGATGGTTGGAAGAACGGGGTCTTCCCTTCTGCAAATTGAAAGCCAAACTCCCTGGTCCCATCAGATGGATGTGGCCTCTCTGCATCCTGCTGGATGATGGTGGCCATTTCAGTAACAGCTTCCATGTACTTGAGACCGAGCCCCCAGAGAGAGGCCAGGTGGCCCCGTTGCAACGCCGATTCAATCCGACTCATGGCTGCCAAGCCACAGGAGGAGCAGAAGATACGGATTTGGGGAGTCTTCAGACCCGGAAGGATAAGCTTGGGGAGAGGTTGCCTTTGAGACCACCAACAACGTTTCCAGGAGATTTGTGGGGCAGCAGGAAAGCTTTCCAAGCGCACCTCCAAATGTTTCTTCGTCAGGTGGACCTGTAGTTTCTTCAAGACTTTCGTTTTTAACATGAGGAGTGGCTGAGCTGGACATAATGGAAGACCCTGATTTTTTCTAACTTTCTCCTCTTCCTTCTTGGGCCTTACAAGGTGCCCTGGTGGTGTTCTTATCCCCAATCTGGGCTGCTGAGAAAAGGGCTTTGCTGCCACTCTCTTCTCTTTATAAAGAAGTTCTGGAAACAGCCGTCGACAGGTTTCCAGGACTCTTCTGGGCAAGCCCCACCTCTGCTGGAGCTTCAATCTTTGAAGATGGAACTCCAGGAGGATGCAGGTGTCCTCGGGAAGAAAGGCAAGTTTCTGTGGCAGAGTTTCGATGCGGTTCCTGGTCTTGTGGAGGACGGAAAAACGTGGGACTATACTCGGCATGAAAGCCTTCAGAGATCTCCTGATCACACTCGGGAGACCCCACTCATGCTGCAGCCTCTTTTTTCTCACATGGGCTTCCAAGGTTTCTCGCCCCCCCTGCTGGAGAAATGGGGTCTGCGCCCCTGAGAATTCAGAAGCTTCCCTTCTGCATGGGAAGGGCTTGGAGGAAGATGGAGGAGGGGCCATTGCAACCAGGGACTCTACGTACCGCTTTCCCAGGTCCCAACAGGAACTCAGGCGCCATCTCTGCACAACCATCTCCATCTTCTTAGCATCCTGGGGGAGCACAAAGGGGAGGAAGACCAGGCGAGCTTGCAAGGGTTTGTCCGCACGAGATACCAGCTTGGGCAGAGGTTGCACGTTCGAACACACCAAGAGCCTCCAGGAGCGAAGGGCCACATCTGGAAACACCTCTGCTTGTATTTCGACACACTTCTTAGCCAGGTGGAGTTTCACCTTCATCTGAATTACATCCAACGATCTCTGGAGCAATGGTGGACCTGTGACCACTGACCTTTTGGCCTTCTTGCCCGGTTTCTGTACTAGAGAAGTTTCACTCTTGGGCAGAGGAAGTGGCTTCATGTGCCTGAGAGCCTCTTGGACCCTCCTGGGCAGCTGCCAAAGCTTCAGCTGGACTCTCTTCTTGAGATGAAGCTCCAGCTTCTTTTTGGTCTTGGCGGCCACAAAGGCGAGGACCCGAGGCCTTCTCACCACAACCCTGACCCCCAGGGGCCTCTCCGAGGAGGAAGCTGGAGCCGAGGGCATGAAGCTCCGGAGGGACCTGAGGAGAATCCAGGACATCCCCAGCAGATGCTGGAGCCTCTTGGCTACCCAATGAGACTCTAAGCTCTGAATCATAGCTTCTTTCATGAAGGAGACGGGCACAGATGGAAAGTGTATCTCCTCTCCCTTGGCAGCCTCAGGAGAAGCTTGCTTGGGTGAGCTTCTGCTACTCTTCTGCTTTTGAAGGACACTTTTGTGGTGCTTACGGGACCTGCAGCTCTTCAGTCTGCTGAAGATGAGGGTAGAGTGGCCAGAAGAATCTGTCCAGCTACTGATGGAGGAGGTCTCATAAGTGCTGGAGGACAAGCTCGAGAGGTCCTCCATATAAACATCCAGCTCCCCAGAGACACTGCCCTGTGTCTTTTGATCCTGGAGGCTACGTTTCGAGGCCTTCTTCCCCGCTGCGACACTTGCCACATGCTGTGTTGTATCAGTGGATGCTGTGCCCTCTGGGCCAAAGGAAACAGGTCCCACGCAGGCAGAAGTCACACTGGAGGTCCAAATGCAGGACTCCTGTTCTTCCTCTACTGAGGTGGCAGTGGAGACTTTGGCTTCCTTGCAAGGCCTGGGAGAAAGCCGGAATCTGGATTTGGCGTAGCCACAATGCTCTGTGCGTTGCCAATAAATGAGCTGCCATGCCTCCTGAGCTACCCGCAGGCACACCTGGCAGGCCAGTTCTTTGCAGAGCAATTGACGGAGACGCTGGTAGGGCGTCTGATGGACACCGTCTTCGGTGGTCCCTGCAGAGGAGAAGAATTGTCCCAACATTGGATCTCTTTGGGGAACACCTTTGCCTGCCCCATCTAAACGTAAAATGGCCCAGATGGTGCTACATGAAGCAACCTAGAACTAAGGAGAAATTTCCTGGCAGTTAGAACAATTAATCAGTGGAACAGCTGGCCTTCAGACGTTGTGGGTGCTCCATCACCGGAGGCTTTTAAGGACAAACAATTGTCCAGAATGGTATACAGCAGTGGTGGCGAACCTATGGCACGGGTGCCAGAGGCGGCACTCAGAGCCCTCTCTGTGGGCACGCGTGCCGTTGCCCCAGTCCTAGGCCTTCAGCTGGGTTTTATAAAACCTTTTTGCTTTAGGCCTCCACCGCCGTGTGCAAAAAAAAAAAAAAAGATTCAGTCAATTTCAACTTCTTGCGGGGAAAAACAATCTTGCAAAGTTGGAATTGATTGATTTTAGTCCCACCCAGTCTGCCGTTACCACCGCAGCCACGCCCAGCCAATGGGCCATGCCCAGCCAATGGGCCACACCTACCCGGCACCTGACGATGCATAAGTGGGTTTGGGGTTGCAGTATGGGCACTCAGTGTCTAAAAGGTTCGCCATCACTGGTATACAGTCTCCTGCGTGAGCAGGAGGTTGGACTAGAAGACCTCCAAGGTTCCTTCCAGGTCTGTTATTCTATTAATTAATTAACCAGTAGAATGGCTTGCCTCCAGAAGTTGTGGGTGCTCCATTACTGGAGGTTTTTAAGAAGAGATTGGACAACTATTTGTGCAGGATGAAGTCTCCTGCTTGAGCAGGGGGTTGGACTAGAAGACCTCCAAGATCTCTTCTGTTATTCTGCTCCATGCTCAGTTGAAGAGGACTGCTTGCAAGCTATTTCTCTAAGAGGGCAGGGGATGAATGTTTCAGCTGAATCAAGGAATCTTAGGACTGGGAGGGACCTTTGAGATCCGCTAGTTCAACCCCCTGCTCAAGGCAGGAGACCTTATACCATCCTGAACAAATGATTGTCCCGTCTTTTCTTGAAAACTCTGGGAGCCAAACCCTTACATTGATTACAGGTAGTCCTCAGGTTACATCTACCATTGTGTCCAAAATTTCTGTTGCTAAGACATTGGTTGAGTGATTTTTGCCCCAATTTATGAGCTTTCTTGCTACAGTTATTAAATGAAGCACTGCAGTTGTAAAGTTGGTCACACACTTGTCAAGTGAATCTGACTTCCACACTGAGAAAAACTAATTCACTTAAAATTGTGGACTCCGCTTAACGAACACAGCATTCACTTAACAACTGCCGCATAAAATGTTAGAAAAGCGTATCCAGTCTTGTGATGCCTTGACTGACAAGCACAATGACTTCCGGCCATAATCGCAGTTTTGAGTATGGTTATAGCTTGAGGAGTAGTTGTATGCCCAGTTCTACTGCCTTTGTTTTAAGTCAAATGGTGCCTCTCGTCCATTTTAAATGGTTAGTCCTGGAGTAAGGTCCTGTTGATTGTTTTTGATAGATATGCCTTGATTAATACAAGGTAAGCTGTCCTGGGTAGCGTTTTTAGAGAAAAGCAAAATTGGAACGAAACAGAAAGGATCGCCCCTCGACAAGGATGACAGGTCCATTGGTGAAGTGGTTCATATTTTGAGAGCCAGTTTGGTATCATGATGATAGCACCAGGCTAGAATCAGGGATCTTGAGTTCTAATGCTGCCTTGGGCACAAAGCCAACTGAGTGGCCTTGGGCCAGACACTTCCTCTCAGCCCTTGGAAGCAGGGAATAGCAAACCACTTATGAAAAACCTTGGCGAGAAAACTACAGGGCCTTGTCCAGAAGCGGACACAAGGGAACAGAAGAAAGAGACAGAGAGAGAGAGAGAGAGAGCGGAAAGGAGAAGATGATAGCTAGCTAGGGAGATAGAGAGATAGAGAAATAAAGATATAGAGATGATAGATAGATAGATAGATAGATAGATAGATAGATAGATAGATAGACAGATATAGAAATAGATAGATAGATAGAGATAGATAGAGATAGAGAGAGAGATAGAGATAGATAAATAGATAGATAGATAGATAGATAGAGATAGATAGATAGATAGATAGATAGATAGATAGATAGATAGATAGATATAGGTAGAGATAGATAGATAGATATAATAGATAGAAAAAGTACTGCAACAAACTGGTGGATTAAATGCTTGGAAAAACTTAAAACCTTTTCCGACGGTTTTAGTTTCCTGCAGGCTGGCCTCAATTTTCTGCTGAACCTGCAAAGAGACAGAAAAAAGAAAAAAGAATGTGTGTTCTCAGGATCCAAGTGGCCTCATTCTATTCTATTATTCCATTCCATTCCATTCCATTCCATTCTATTCCATTCTATTCTATTCCATTCTATTCCATTCCATTCCATTCACTATTCCAAAGAGATGATCAAAAAGAGCAAAACACCTCCTGGCTAGCAATCAACACCCAGATAACTAGAGACTAACACCAAAATTAACACTAGACCAACAATCAATAATTAAACGGTACCCCAATCTAGAGAAACCCAACTGAGACAAACAATCCAACAGTAAACAACAGTCTAATTAAGGAACCACCAAGAAGAAAACATCACTCCTTCCAAGACTGATGGGGCAAGCAACTAGTATTCAAATAGAGAGCAAACCCCACTCCCTTCTAGCACTGATGGTGTTACCTAATTGGGTCATGAAATGTCTGAAAGAAAACAACCAACCTTAGAGAGCATCAAGGACCCTAAATTTCTGCTCCTCTTCCTCTTCCCCCCCCACTCCTACTCCCTCTCTCCTCCTCCATTTCCTCCCCCCCTTCCTCTCTGCAAACCCCACTCCCTTCTAAGCACTGATGGTATTACCTAGTTCAGTGGTTCTCAACCTTTTTAATGCCGCGACCCCCCCAACCAGTTGTAAGTCGAGGACTACTCAACCGGTTGTAAGTCGAGGACTACGCAACTGGTGCAGCACCGTTGGCAGAATGGGACTTTTGGCGGGCTCAGCAGGGCAGAGACAGCCTGGACAATTCCTATTGGCTTTTGAAAGCCAATAGAATTAGACTCTATTCAAGATAGTCTATTCTATTGGCTTTCAAAAGCCAATAGAATAAAAGGGAGTAGCACAGCTAAGGAAAAGGGGAAAAAATGGCGGACTGCGTTGTTTGGCGACCCCCGTGAAATGGTCGTTCGACCCCAAATGGGGTCCCGACCCACAGGTTGAGAACCACTGACCTAGTTGGATAACGAAACGTCTGCAAAAAAACCAACCAAGCTCAGAGAGCAGCAAGGACCCTAAATTTCTGCTCCTCTTCCTCTTCCCCCCCACTCCCACTTCCTTTCTCTCCCTCCTTTTCCTCCCCCCTTCCTCTCTGCAAACCCCACTCCCTTCTAGCACTGATGGTATTACCTAGTTGGATAACGAAACGTCTGCAAAAAAACCAACCAAGCTCAGAGAGCACCAAGGACCCTTCTCTTTCTTGATGTTAAATTCTCCCTTTGAAAACAAATAAGCCAAATTGGAAATGTAATTTTTCTCCTAATTATCCAATGTTGGGAGTAATTCACTTAACAACTGTGGCAAGAAAGGTTGTAAAATGGGGCAAAATTCACACTGAACAACTGTCTTGCTTAGCAGTGGAAATTTTAGGCCCAAATGTGCTGTAAATCGAGGACTGTCAGTAGATTATTGATTGATAAATGGTTAATAATAACCATTCATTCCTGTCCGACTCTTGGCAATTCTGTGGGCCATGTCTGTCCTTATCAGATAAATGATATAGTTTATAGATAGATGATTGATAGCTACTGTAGATGGATAGATAGGATTGATATACGATTGATATTTGACAGATGATAGATGATTGATAGAGATGTATATAGATGATAGAGAGAGCGCCACATACATTAAAGGCTAAACTATATAAAAAAATGGTTGCTGGAATTGGGTATGTTTAGTTTAATGAAAACTAGGGGGAACATGATCAGTCTTCCAGCATTTGAGAGGCTGCCACAAAGAAGAGTGGAAGGGTCAAGCTATTCTCCAAAGCACCTGGAGGCAGAAGAAGAAGCAACGGATGGAAACTCATCAAGAAGAGAAGCAATCTGGAACTAAGAAGAAATTTCCTGACTGTTAGAATAATTAACCAGTGGAACAACCTGCCTCCAGAAGTTGTGAATGCTCCAGCACTGGAAGTTTTTAAGACGAGAGTGGACAGCCACTTGTCTGAAATGTATAGGGCAGTGGTGGCGAACCTATGGCACGAATGTCAGAGGCGGCACTCAGAGCCCTCTCTGTGGGCACGCGCACCATCGCCCCAGTCCTAGGCCTTCAGCTGGGTTTTATAAAACCTTTTCGCTTTAGGCCTCCGCTGCTGTGTGCAAAAAAAAAAAAAAAAAAGGTTCAATCAGTCAATTTCAACTTCTCATGGGAAAAAAAAAAGATCTTGCAAAGTTGGAATTGATTGATTGAACTTTTTAGTCCCACCCAGTCTGCCGTTACCATTGCAGCCACACCCACCCAATGGGCCACACCCACCCATTGGGCCCCGCCCACCCAGCACCCGACGATACATAAGTGGGTTTTGGGTTGCAGTTTGGGCACTCGGTCTCTAAAAGGTTCGCCATCACTGGTATAGGGTCTTCTGCCTGAGCAGGGGGTTGGACTAGAGGACCTCCAAGGTCCCTTCCAAGTCTGTTATTCTGTTATACACCAGGTTTCTTCAGCATACTCAACTACAGACATAAAGGAGGAGCCGAGGTGGCGCAGCAGTTAGAGTGCAGTACTGCAGGCCACTTTAGCTGACGGTGTTCAGCAGGTCAGCGGTTCAAATCTCACCGGCTCAAGGTTGACTCAGCCTTCCATCCTTCCAAGGTAGGTAAAATGAGGACCCAGATTGTTGGGGGCAATGTAAATATATATATATATACATTGCTTACTGGTGTACACTGCTTAGAGAGTGCTTGCACTTAAAGCGGTATATAAGTCTCATAAATAAATAAATAAATAAAAGTCACAATTTCCTCCCTATGACTTCTTTCCTATGGCATAGGTGTCTCAAAAACTTACGGATTCTGCCTTGGAGAAGCATTTACGAGGGTCAAAGAGGAATTTTAAGCTTCTTTGGAGCAGCTCAAAAGCCACATGCCACACCGTGAAGGTTTTCAAGATTTTCCAGATAATAAAGAAAACTAAGATCAAAGGGGCATTTTTGCCGAGAAGTAGAATAAATTTCTGAAGGGCAAAACTGCCACCACATGGAGCTGCCAGTTCCATATTGGAAGAAAACCCCGATAGCTAAAGTCCTGGGCTGGTTTTAAATACGAAGAGGGTCTTAGTATGATGTGTTCTGAGCGCATCATAAAGGTCGCCACGCTACACTATGCCAGTCCCATCTCACAAGTCCCTCATTATCCTCTTCCTGGAAATTGTCACATAGAAAACCCCTCATGTACTTGCTAGAATTCATGGTGCTCCACCCTCATGTCTATACATTTATCTTCTGGAGTTTATCATCTTAGAAAATCAGAATAGAGCTGGAAGGGATCTTGGAGGTCATCTAGTCCAACCCCCTGCTCAGGCAGGAAACCCTATACCATTTCGGACAAATGGCTGTCCAGTCTCTTCTTAAAAACTTCCAGTGTTGGAGCACCTACTGCTTCTGGAGGCAGGCTGTTCCACTGGTTAATTGTTCCCACAGTTAGGAAGTTTCTCCTTAATTTCAGGCTGCTTTTCTGCTTCATTAGTTTCCATGTTGCTTTTTGTTCTGCCTTGGAGAGTAGATTGACCCCCCCTCTTCTTCTTTTTTTAATATATTTTATTGATTTTTAACAATAACAATCTTTAATGCTTAGCAAACAGCGTGTTGTCTGGTTCATATATTTAAAAACAATAATTAATTTCTATAATTCCATAGTCAATATATTAGTTAATGATATGTTTCCTTGATCTTCTTCCAGTAGTATTCTCCTTTTGTCAACATTAAACAAATACAGTTCTTAATACTTTCAATACCTTCCAATACAAGGTTGAATATAAACATTTTTCTTGTGTTTGTACAAATAACAATAAGATCAACATAAAACATCTTTTCTAATTGGCTTATGTTTCAATTGTATTTATAAAGGTCATCTTAGTGAGTCACTATGTGTCCTGTTTTCAAGATTCTTATTAAAGCTTAGTTTCCCCTCAGTGTTCAAACCACTTTTTATCAGTCATGATTTTCTCAAAGTTAATTACCTTTAAATATCTAAACTTTTCATTCACATACACCATCCCAATTATTTTTACATTTCATATATTATAAAAGATACTATACTACTTATATATCTTATCCCTCTTACTGTAGAGCTCCTTTATATCCAAAATTTATCTATTCTTTTAACCATATTCAAACAAGTGTTTAATCATATAGTACTCCATCTGGTAAATCGAGTCAAATCTCATTCACAACTTCTCGTGGCAGATTGTTCCACTGATAGTCTAATTGTCAGGAAATTTCTCCTTAGATCTAGGTTGCTTCTCTCTTTGATTAGTTTCCATCCATTGCTTCTCATCTTGCCTTCAGATACTTTGGAGAATAACTTGACTGCCTCTTCTTTGTGGCAACCCCTGAGATATTGGAACACTGGTTATCATGTTACCCCCACCCCACCCCGTCCTTTTCATTAAGCATTCCAGCAACCGTTCCTTATATGCTTTAGCCCAGTGGTTCTCAACCTTTTTAATGCCGTGACCCCAACCGGTCGTAAGTCAAGGACTACCCAACTGGTCGTAAGTCGAGGACTACCCAACCGGTCGTAAATCGAGGACTTTCCCTGCCCGGGGGCGCTGCACATGCATGGTGCCGCCCCCTGCCGCCCCCATTAGTAGTTGCTTAGCAGGGAGGGGTGGAAACTTCCAGACAGCTTGCCTTCGCTGCAGACAACCTGCAGCACCGTTTGCAGAATGGGACTTTGACGGGCTCAGCAGGGAAGAGACAGCCTGGACAATTCCTATTGGCTTTTGAAAGCCAATAGAATTAGACTCTATTCAAAAAAAATGGTGGACTGCATTATTTGGCAACCCCCGTGAAATGGTCGTTCGACCCCAAATGGGGTCACAACCCACAGGTTGAGAACCACTGATGTAGATGTAATTCCATTGAGGACCACAGGCTGAGTACCGCCAGCCGGTCAGCCAGCTACAAATCCATCTGGTGGTGATGCTAACAGCTAGCCCAGTTTTCTATCTTATCAAGAAGTAGGTTGTGGTCTACTTTATCAAATGTCTTACTGAAGTCCAAGTTGCACCCTTTTATGTTTAAAGAAAATAGAATAATAATTTTATTGTACTTTTGTTATTGTTAGTTGCGAAGCCGTATCCAAACCATCGTGACTTTAAATGTGTACTTTAAATGTACACTAATCAGCATACATTAAAATGCATACAGCTCTCAAAAGATAACCACCTCCAATATACCCAAATACAATTGCAAGAGCCTTGACTGCAAACAATTCAAAATATTGATGAAAGCGATCACCGCAGTAAGATCAATCCCCAAGCAGATTTATACAAAAGCTGAACTATAGGAAAAACCTGAGTCACGCTAAACCACGTTTCTTGGTTAAGGAGGAAACAAACCTTGCATAGTTTTTACAAGTTTCTAAAGCCACGTGACGGAGGCGTTCCGGAGGAGCGAGTCCCACCCACAGCAATTCTGGCCAATAAGAAGAAAAGGGCGGCCCTCCCTCTTTACGCAGGCGCGAGTCTTTCCCGCACTCTGCGTTGTGGCGCATGCGTGGTCCTTCATTCGCGCTGAGGAAGCCGGGAGGACGCCATTTTGGTTGCGGCCCGGTGGCGGCGGCAATTGGTGAGCGGAGGAAGGTGTGGGCTGGGGATGATGGGAGTGAGTGCCCGAGGCCTAGGGAGACCAGTGGTGGGGCAAAGAAGGTCCTGGACCGCGTTCACATGTTTCTGGGTCAACCCGGGTTATTCCCTCAGCAGTTCTGAGGGGAATCCGCGGCTCGGCGCGTTGCCGTGAGGTGCGTTTTTATTTAATTTATTAATTTTTATTTCGCCTTTATGGTATTTTTATCCTGCTTTTTATATATTTGGGATAGCTCAAGGTAGCAAATTTGCCTGATCCTATTTTCCCCACAACAACCCTGTGAGGTGGGCCTGCCTGACCTGAAAGACCGAGCCAAAATTCCCCCCCCCATGAAGACCATTTATACAATACACTGCAAAAGATGGGGATCCAATTCAAACAAATAATAATCTGAGATATTATTTCATTATCAGCAATTGACTAATATTGGTGAGTTTACTTCACCACAATAATTCGCGAATATATTCAGGAATATTAGTGAATGGTTCTCATTGCAATCCAGATAATATGCACAGAGTGACAGTCTTAAGTAATATTATTTCACTACAGTAATTCAGGAATATTAGTGAATTGTTTCACTGCAATCCAGATAATATGTGTAAAAGGTAGCAATCCAATTAATATTTCACAATCATAATTTACTAATATAGGTAAGCCTCGACTTAACGACCACGATTGAGCCCCAAATTCCCATTGCTAAGCAAGACAGCTGTTGTGAGCTTTGTCCCATTTTACAACCTTTCTTGCCACTGTTGTTAAGCAAAACAGTGGCAAATTAGTCACCCGGTCGCTAAGTGACTCTGGCTTCCCCATTGACTTTGCTTGTCAGAAGGTTACAAAAGGATCACGTGGTCCTGCAACTGTCATAAATGTGAGACAGTTGCCAAGTGCCTGGATTTTGATCAGGTGATCTTGGGGAGACTGCAGTGTGAAAAATGATTTTGTCAATTTTTTTCTCCACTGCTCTTGTAACTTCAAATGATCACTGAATAAATGATTGTAAGTCAAAGATTACCTGCGCTACAAAGCTTTCCCTAATATTACCTTTAAAAATACATCAGCAACTCTTCCTCTCTTTCAAAGGAAATGAGAGCAGGATGGAGTTGTGTGATTAATTGAATACTGATTGCATCAACTGATTAAAATTGATGGTTTAAATGACAGAACATTTTCTTCTAGATTTGCATAGCACTGATTGTTGAACATGAGATATTAATGAAGAAGGCTTAAAGGTAAACCAGCACACACTTGTTTGCCTGCTCTGCTTAATAAAACATTTATTTTTATTACATTTATATTCTGCCCCATCTCAATCTGCAAAGTGTCTGTGGGTGGCTTAAAATTAAAATTCACTTGCTGCACATAAGCAACATTACATAGAATCACAGAGTTGGAAGGGATTTTGGAGGTCTTCTAGCACTTATACCAGAGGTCCTCACCTTTTGGGCACCAGGGACCGGTTCCACGGAGAAAGGTTTTTCCACGGACCGGAGGGTGTGTGGTTTTGTGTGCTGCCTGCATCCCTCGGATGAGGCTTTGCTTGTTTGTGTGGACCGGTTGCTGGCATGCCGCGGTCTGGTACTGGTCCACGGACCAGGGGTTCGGGACCCCTGACTTATATCATTTCAGACAAGTGACTGTCCAGTCTCTTCTTAAAAGCCTCCAGTGTTGGAACACCCACAACTTCTGGTGGCAAGTTGTTCCATTGATTGACTGTTCTCACTGTTAGTAAGTTTCTCCTTAATTCCAGGTTGCTTCGCTTCTTGATTAGTTTCCATCCATTGTTTCCTGTTTTGCCTTCAGGTCCTTTGGAGAATAGGTTGACCCCCCTCTTTTTTGTGGCAGTCGCTCAAATCCTGGAATACTGCTCTCATGTCACCCCTGGTCCTTCTTTTCTCTAAACTGGCCATACCCAATTCCTGCAACCATTCTTCATATGTTTTAGTCTCCAGGCCTTTAATCCTCTTAGTTGCTCTTTTTTGTAATGTGCTGATCAAGACTGGATGCTGTGTGGCCGTACTAAGACTTTATAAAGCAGTGCTAATATTTCATGTGATTTTGATTCTATACCTCTGTTTATACAGCCCAGGATTGTATTAGCTTTTTTGGCTGCTGCTACATACGGCTGGCTCATGTTTAAGTGATCGTCCACTGGGACTCTCAAAGTCCCAATGATCTGTTTCTAGTCTAACCCATTGCTTGAGCAGGGGACCCTATAGCATATTTATTTATTTATTTATGAGACTTATATACCGCTTTAAGTGCAAGCACTCTCTAAGCGGTGTACACCAGTAAGCAACATATATATATATATTTACATTGCCCCCAACAATCTGGGTCCTCATTTTACCTACCTCAGAAGGATGGAAGGCTGAGTCAACCTTGAGCCGGTGAGATTTGAACCGCTGACCTGCTGAACAGTCAGCTAAAGTGGCCTGCAGTACTGCACTCTAACTGCTGCGCCACCTCGGCTCATATCAGACAAATGGCTGTTCAGTCTCTTCTTGAAAGCCTCCAGTGATGCGACACCCACAACATTTGAAAGCAAGCCAAAAGCATTAGTTATATATGGGTGACTGAAGCTTCCCCTTATGCATTATTAACAAGGGTGTGAATAAGGGCAGGAGTAAGGATGCTTTAATGTGATGAAGGGACCTTAGAGTGAGTTACAACGTTGATCTTTGCTAAACAGTGTTTTCGATAATTATTGTTTCATTGTACAGTTATCTTCTTCCCTTTTTTTCTTTTATTTTTATTATTTATTGGGCTTAAATGCCACCCCTCTAATCTAGAGCTGACCCTAAGCAGCTTACAATAAAAAGCACAAGATAAAACGTTTAAGCATAACAACCATACATATTAACACTGGAATTAAGTTAAAATTGCAAGCTGGGAAGGAAGGGAAGAAAATGCACAAAAGGAGGAGGTGGGGGGGGGTCTTAGCACGTTAGCCACCTCCAGAGTGAGATGCCCCAATTGAGGCTTCAGGCCAGTTGGCAGAGCCAGATCTTCAGGCCCTTTCAGGACGTGTGCAAATCTCACCTACAGGGTGGTGGGGGTGGTGGATGATATTTCAAAGGGCAGAAGCCACAGCAGAAAACGCTCTTCTCCTGGACCCCACCAGCTGGAATGTCTTGACTACTATGGTCTACAGCAGACCCCTTCTGCTAGCACAAACCTGGGCCCATGCCTGAAGGGTTTTTATCACCCTTGAAGATGGAACAAGGGACTGGGGATAGACCTTGATTTGTTCAGCAGGGTAAATTCCCAGATTTCTAAGATAGGGCTTTTCAACCTTTTCACCCATTGGGCCACTTTTAGGATATGGCAATATCCGAGTACCACCAGTCACCTAGCAAGGTGTCAAAAACTTGATGACCCCCCCCCCCCAAAAGGAAAAAAGTGATATAGTACAGGTAGTCCTTGACTTACAACAATTTGCTTAGTGACTGTTCAAAGTTACAATGGCACTGAAAAAAGTGCCCCCCAAGCCACAGCCACACAGCAAGACACCTGCCTGCCCACCCGGCGGCGCTCTTCCTTTGTTGTGAGCATTTCTGTTGGGTGGGGAGGTGGGGTGGGGGGGTGTTTGGTTTTTATTCCCCCCCATCTGCTGGGTGGTTGCAGCAGGTTTTGGTCACTTCACATGACCCTGGGACACTGTGACCGTCATAAATATGAATCAGTTGCCAAGCATCTGAATGTAAATCAGAAGACCCTGGAGATGCTGCAACATTCCAGCTGATCGGCGCTTCTTCTGGGCTCAGTGGAAGCGCCAGGATCAGCACCGAGCTCCAGCTGGAGCCTGGTGCTGATCCTGGCACTTCCACTGAGCCCTGTCAGCCCTGCAGCTCCAGCCATCTCTCGCTCAGGCTTGTGCGGTGCTGCCACCGGTTCAGCTCATTCCCCTCCCCCGCTACCACTTTTCTAGGATGGTCATGTACTACCTGCCAGGTACCAATGTACCACAGGTGGTACCCGTACCACCGGTTGAAAAGCCCTGTTCTAAGACTTTGCATCTGTAATCCTATAGCATAATTAGATCCTGAAATGCTATTTGTTCCTTACAGCACTGCAAACCATGGAGAATTACCAGAAGTCCAAGGCAGTGGAGAAGCCTTCTCCTCTCCCTTTCACCAGCTTGCCCTCAGACATCATTGAAATGAAAGTGAAGGATGGAAGCAAAATCCGGAACCTGATGGGCTATGCCATTGGCAAGATGGAGCAAGAGACGACGAGACAGATGCTCTTCAGCGGAGTTGGCAAAGCCATCAACAAGACCATCACGTGCGTGGAGATTATGAAGCGGCGGCTCAAAGATCTTCATCAGATCACAAAAGTGTTCTTTCAGCAAATAGAGGAGATCTGGGAACCGATTGTGCCAGAGGCCGGTCTAGATCCCTTGACTGTGAAACGAAATATCCCTGCCATTTGTGTTTTGCTGAGCAAAGACCCCCTAGATCATCAGGAGCCAGGTTATCAGGCTCCGGGATCCTTCGATGCTTTCTGGTTGGAAACGCTGAATTCGGAGTCCCAAAGTCAGCCGAAAAGGAAGAAGGGGGGCGGGAGAGGGGCAGGCCATGCAGGAAAGCACCCTTCCTCTGCCTTTTGATAATCCCAAAATAAGCTGACTGAATTACTTAACCTACAGAGCAAAAGAAAGCCGGACCGTTTTCGTGATGAGAGAGGAAAATGGAGAATCTTGGAATGGAAAGAGGCTGATTTAAAGGAAGCGGAAGAAAAGAGGCTGAGATTTCAGAACTGCCTGGGTCAGGTTGATCATCGGTATCTGGTAAAAGGGCTCTTTTTTTCCTTTCAGAAGGAAACAAATGCTCTGGTGGATTGTTCTAGTGGTCGAAACAATAGTGATTAAAAAGAGCCTTCTGGTTGGGGGAGATGTGGTGGAAAATCTGTGCCTGTTTACCAAGAAGGTAGCTATGACGTTTGCCTGATTTCCTCAGTGGATGACTTGGATGTTACCTTTGGATCTAATACTGTGAAAGGGCAGGTATTTTCTGGTTCCAAAATTTGATGGTAACAGGAAGGAGGCCCTGTTTTTTGTGGTATTCTTTGGCTTTAACACAGGGCTCTCCAAACTTGGCGACTGTAAGACTAGTGGATTTCAATTCCCAGGGCGCACGCTGGCTGGGAGATTCTGGGAGTTGAAGTCCACAAGTTGTCAAGTTTGGAGACCTCCCCGTTGTAACATAAGCATCTGCCTACCTGTATAGTCAAGATTATTGTGATTGCCAGACGTGCAGAGGGTGCAGCTTAGTATGTCTAAAGACAGTTGGAAAAATGCTGAGGTTATTTGATTGTTAAAAAACATAAGATTGCACAACAATACTGTTGTTAGTTTTTTTTATTTTTAGTTAATTTTTTTTTCAACATTTGAAAAGGCTGCTTTGGTCTATGAAAGAGTTGTTGCTACTTGCTGATACTTATCTCCAGTAATTCTGTTTCCCTCCATAAGTGGTGCCTGAGTGTTGCCTGAGGAAATGTAAGATGTTATGGAGAGCCTTTCCCCTTTTTAGCTGATATAACTTCATGTATCTCTGAAAGCACTGATGCTCCAGAGATCCTACATGGGGCAGGAATTTTATCTGTTTGACTGCATTGACAATACTGATGAATTATTTGTATTCAATCAAACCATTAAAAAAAAATCACATTCTTAGTACTTTCGAGGCTCGCATCTTGTTATTAACAACATTACAAAAACCTCGAAGCCTAAAGCTTTAGCTGTCTAGCATTCTGTTCTCAGTGTCCAACCACAATTTTCTGAGTTGAAACAAGGAGATTTGATCTTCTTTTCTTGGCCACCACTCAAAAATAATTTGTAGGATGTGTGTTCCAAGTTTCCAGTTTAGCCTACAGCCCTCCTGGAATATTCTAGCGGTCTTCCATTCACTTTCCAAACAGTTTGCTGCTTAACTGTTTCAAGATCAGTCAGAGCAGCTAATAGATTGAGCTAAGAAAGCTGAGTTTGTAATGTCATCTCTGCTCAAAAAGTGACTTTTCTCTCACGGTTCTGAGATAAAATTTCACAACTGAAACAAATTTCAGATAAGAGTTGGGAGGTTGCTGCTGAAAGAAAAAAAAAACCCAGTTTGCCTGTTTCCAGAACATTATGAGTGGCACAAAACAATAATAGTAAGTCTACTTAGCAAGCTTAGGATGGTGGTGGAACTGCAGATTTGACCTAGTTAATTAAGCATGTTGTAAAATTCTGTCAATGTGAATGTTCTTGAATGCCCAAACAGTAAATACTTCAATTATTAGAATCCAGCCTATAGGTCAGTGGTTCTCAACCTTTTTAATGCCGCAACCCCCAACCAGTTGTAAGTCAAGGACTACTCAACCGGTCGTAAGTCGAGGACTACTCAACTGGTGCAGCACCGTTTGCAGAATGGGACTTTTGGCGGGCTCAGCAGGGCAGAGACAGCCTGGACAATTCCTATTGGCTTTTGAAAGCCAATAGAATTAGACTCTATTCAAGAGAGTCAATAGAATAAAAGGGAGTAGCACAGCTAAGGAAAAGGGGAAAAAAATGGCGGATTGCGTTGTTTGGCGACCCCCGTGAAATGGTCGTTCGACCCCAAATGGGGTCCCAACCCACAGGTTGAGAACCACTGCTATAGGTAATCTCTGCTAAATGAAACAGTCTTGCTCTTCTTTTTCTAGATTTTCTTAATAATGTTCTATAGTTCATGACGTTGAATTTTCAAATATACTGTCCCAAAGATTTAGCAGTCATAGGTTGACAACACGTAGCTAAAAACTAAGGGAACAGAAAGAATTGAGAAATAAGAATGACAGGTATTTCTTGACTTAACGACCACACTTGAGCCAAAAATTGTATGTTGCTAAGCAAGACAGTTAAGTGAGTTTTTCCTCATTTTACAACCTTTCTTACCACCATTGTTAAGTAAATTACTCAGGCATTAGTATCACAGTTGTAAAGTGGAATCTGGCTTCTCCGTTGGAAGGTCTCAAAGGGGATCACATGACATCAAAAGGACATGCCAATTGCCAAGCTAGTCTTTGCCCACAATAATTGTTCTCAATCCCCCAGTGCCCCCCGACATCTAACATTTCCTCTCCACTGAAATTATGAATGGCCTGATGGATTATCTGATTTTTTTTTTTAAAAAAAAGTCCAGTTCATTGCTTGCTCTATCTCTTGCTGAACTTGATGCTTTCTTGAATCTAGTAGGTTTGGATTTAGTGCAATCCAATTGCAGAATTGGGAACGTTTATTTCTGCTTCTACAATCATAGTTTGAGACTGGGCTTGAATTCAGGCTGAAAGTGCAGGAGAGATCAGAGGGAGGCTATTTGCTGTAACGGTATGCACAGATGCAAAAGCATTCGGCCCTTGAGTGAACTCATGAAGAATTTTAGTAAATCTTGATAAGAATGTTAGCAAAGCATTTGATACAGTTCCACCTAACAAGCCCATTAAAAAGTTGTACAGGCTAGCTTTTAGCCAGCGTGTGTTTCAATCGATAAGAAATTGGCTCAGGGATAAATCCCAGCGTGTGATTGTTAATGGGTCAGTGTCTGTACAGAGACCAGTCACAAGTGAGGTACCACAAGGCTCAGTCCTACGTCCTGTTCAGTGTGTCTATAAGTGATATAAAGAAGGATTGCTAGGTAAGATTTGCTTGTTTGTTTTTCGCTGATGACACAAAAGTGTGTAATAGAGTCGATGGGGTATTCATAACATGGAAAATGATTTGGCATCGCTGAAAAATTGGTCAGAAATGTGGAAATTGTAGTTCATTGTTTCTAAATGTAAGATCACACAACTGGGGAAAAACAAGCACTGGGGGTGCAGCGTTAGAATAATAAAAGATTTAGAAGCACTCATTGCAGATAACAGAATAACAGTTGGAATGAACCTTGGAGGTTTTCTAGTCCAACCCCCAGGAGACCTTACACAATTCTGGACAAATGGCTGCCCAGTCTTTTCTTAAAAACCTCCAGTGGTAGAACATCCACAACTGGAGGGAAGCTATTGCACCAGTTAATTGTTCTCACTCTCAGAAATTTTTTTCCATAATTCCAGGTTGCTTCTCTCCTTGATAGGTTTCCATCCACTGCTTCTTGTCCTGCCTTCAGGTGCTTTGGAGAATAGCTTGACCCCCTCTTCTCTGTGGCAACCCCTCAAATATTGGAAGACTGCTATTATGTCACCCCCCTAGTCCTACTTTTCATTAAACTAGACAGTTCTTCATATGTTTTAGCCTCCAGTCCCCTAATCATCTTTGTTGCTCTTCTCTGTACTCTTTCTAGAGTCTCAACATCTTTTTTACATCGTGGTGACCAACACTGGATGCAGGATTCCAAGTGTGGTCTTACCAAGGCATTGTAGAGTGGTATTAACCCTTCACGTGATCTTGATTCTATCCTTCTGGATGACTGCAGAATGAGCAATCGGTATGGCCAGGCAGCTGTGAAGGCAACCAAAATCCTGGGATATATCACTAAAAGAATCACCAGCAGGAAAAGGGACTCTGGGGATTTAGTCAGACCCCACTTGGAGTCCTGTGTCCAGTTCTGGAGACCTCACTTAAAAAGAGATATTGATAAGATTGAGCGGCAAGTCCAGAGACGGGCAACAAAAATGATGCAAGGTCAGATAAAACATGAATATGGACAGCTTGAAGGACAGAAGGGAAAAGGGGGTCATGATTGAAATCTTAAAACTCCCAGGTGATTTAAGGGGAGTGCATAAAAATAAATGTCATTCGTTGGAAGCTCACACAGGGAAATTTCACACCTGGGGTCTGAATTATGTCTCTTAAAAAAGTAAGGTTGTCGCAGCCCAGATGATTACAGAAAACAATTGAAAAAGCATTCAGGCTACTTTCAGTCCCTCCTCTGGAACTGAATGCTGGAATTTAATACCGGATAGTCCTTGACTTACGACCACAATTGAGTCCAAAATCCCATTGTTAAGCAAGACAGTTTTTCAGTGAGTTTCACCCCATTATACTTTCTTCCCACAGTTAAGTCAATCACTGCAGTGTTACTATCATGGTTGCTAAATGAATCTAGCTTCTCCATTAACTTTGCTTGTCAGAAGGTCGCAAAAGAGGATCATATTACCCAGGATGCGGCAGCTGTCATAAATATGAGCCCGTTGCCAAGTGGCTGAATTTTGATCACGTGACCCTGGGGATGCTGCAACGGTTGCTAAGTGTGAAAAGTGGTCATAAATCACTTTTTTAGTGCTGTTCTAACTTCAGACGGTCACAAAACAAAACTGTTGTCTATATTTATTTTTTTATTAATTTATTTTCATCAACATATGTTAATTTTTCCAATCAACAAGTTGTCTGGAGTTTGCTAAGCTAATACATGTTCAATTCCTAATCCTTCATTCTTTTCTCTAACCAAGAATAAAATAAGTTCCAAATTTGATAGTAGTCTGTATCTTCTTTGTCTTTCAGCCTCATAATTAGTCTGTCCATCTCTGCACATTCCAATATCTTCCTGATTATTTCTTCCTCTGATGGCAGTCCTTCATTCTTCCAGTATTGTGCAGAAATTATTCTCGCTGCTGTGGTAATGTGTAGAATTAAATATAATTTCTGCTTATTGGTCTTTTCAGACATAATGCCTAGTAAGAAAAGTTCAGGTTTAAAATCCACTTGTTCGCCCAATATTTTTTCTAACCCCATATGTATGTTTTTCCAATAGGCCTTTGCCTTCCCACATATCCACCAAATAATGATAATACGTGCCTATGTTATGACAAAACAAAAGTGTTGTAAATCAAGGACTACCTATAGAGTACCTGAAACACCACATTAAGATGACTCCTTGTTTGGTTTGCAAAAGAGCATTAAGGCTTGGTCAACCTTGCTGAGTTCTTTGGTTCCATCTGAAAGGTCTTTGCTTTTCCTCCTGTGTTGTGTTCCTGGGACACTTCTGGTGAAACAGCTGATGGAAAGTATCAGGGACAAGCAGAAGGGATCCCTGTGTTTCTTACTGTCCATCAGCTCAGACTCCAAGGGCCAACCAGGTTTTTGGCCAACTAACCACAAACAATCATTCACCTCCTGGATAGATCTGTCTGAAAACATCCACACTTCCCGTGGGAAAGATTTCCAGTCTGTCCATTGATTAACGATTATATTTTGAGAATTTAGAAGCTGCCCTTTTGTTCCAAAGGGCATCTCCAGGCAGTATTTACAAAAATCGAATGTAATTCCAACACAACAATAAAAGTGAGATAAAGCAAAAAACGCCTCTCTAGCCAAACAGGTTTTCAATTAAAATATAAAAGAAGTTTCAAACCGACACTAGACCGAGTGTACGCAGGTTGCTCCTGAGGAAAGGCAAGGAGGTGAAGCTTTATTATTATTTTTAATTGTGCCCTCCAAAGGAGAGTAAGAATATCACAGAAATGGGGCGAGCCTATCGTCGCCCTGTTTGTGTCAAGAGGAACCAGGATGATTTTAAATTCAGAATAGGGGTGTCAAGCCTAACAAAGCTTTCAACACACCTCTTTGCAACTTAATCTCCTTTTTAAAAAGCTACGCACATACTTGCACGCACCTCGCACACAAAGACTCTGGAAAAGCACACATTTGCTGCTGAATTTCAACAATGAGCTTGGAAGGGATCCAGAACAGAGGACTGTGTGTCTGTGTGTGTTATTCCCATTGTT